TAGAAAGTGAATTTTCTTTTAGCTTCAAAACTGGACTCTCAGTGATCTGCTACCTCTCCATGCTGCAGTTTAAACATCTCTTCCTCCTCCTGTCCAGCAGCCATGGCCAGACATTTCCACCTCTCTCCAGCATGACTCACCATGCACCGCTTACATATGCACAGCAGTAAGTGAGAAAGATACACATAAACACCCACACACACACGAGCTGGTTATGGAAGGTGACGTTCGCCAGGCCGTCCGCCAAAATCACCAGACAAGCCAGGGTGGTCACAGCCGATCACACCTCGGCGCAATTAACTTTGGGAGCTCTACTAGTAAACGTGTGTGTTTGTGAGAGTGCCGAAAAGTGTAGCGCTGCTGGCTGATTAAAATTTTTCACCTCACATTAGCTCTCCATGGAGGCAATAGAGGAGCCAGTTAGATTAGATTCGTTAAGGTACTTTAAAAGCAGCCAGTGTTGTTATTAAATGGGATTTCATGTTTTCAGGAGTGCATGCAGGAATACTCGTGCGTATGTGTGTGTGTGAGAGAGAAACACACAGACAGATGCCGTTTGTCGCGTGTCTCATTACGACCCAGGTTTGCTGTCGTCTGGTCAGATAGGCAGGTGTCCCCTGCAATGTCACAGACTGTCTCTGAGGTTTGGAGCTGACAGGAGGAGACCAGACTTCATTAGCAGGTCAATTACTATTTCCCAGACAACATCTGGAGGACACACTGGCCATCCAGATGCTATTATGCACCTCTTAATTTCCCCTCTCCTCAAAATAGCAGAAACTGTGCAACCGCCGCTTAATGACTGCATCCTCTACTTATGCTCAATGTCAACAAAGAATTCAAAAAAAAAAAAAACAACACTGACTTAAAGTCCAAACTGTTAGCTTTGCAAAGCTTTTATATGAACCAACAGTCGATCTGATATATTTCTCATTTGTGTTCAGGCCACAGCGTCAGCTTTTCCCTCTGTTTCTTATGCTCCCTCCTCAATACCTTACGTGTCTCTCGTGACCTTCTCTCACTACTGCTTGAAACTCATCTTTACACAATTGATCTGAGCCAAACAGAGAGACACGACACTATAGCCAGCTCAGTGTGTAGCGCTGCAGGCAGACAGGCATTTGCAAAAATTGTGGGCACCTACGCACACACGCACACGCACGCACACACAGCATGTTGACACTGATGCATTCACACGGGATCATGGAAATACAAGAGAAGAAATGAGAAAAACAACTCTGTTTATTCTCTGCTGACCCAGCCACAGCCAAAGGCAGCCTCCACACATTGCAATGGAATATTTTTTCTACCAGCTCAGTTGACAGGTGGGCCTGTGTCTTTGTGACTTCTTGATAGAGTTTATTTTTTTCATCCTTTTGTTTTATTTATACATTTCTGTAATTGCGTAAAAAACTAAAATATAGCCCGAGAGGGACGACGCAGTTGACAAGAAACTATAAAATTAGGAAACACAATGATAGATGTAGACACATCCAAATAGAATGAGTAAACAGGAAAATTTTCTGAAGTTGTTTGCTTGGAATTTAGTAAAAGGTTGGGGAGTGTATTGAAGCAGAATGTGAAAACAGATATAATGGATGTGTGCATCTAAACAGTTCGTATCACCGACCTGTGAGGGAATGTTATAGCTGCTCTGTGTACTTGATTCAATGGCCGTGGCCAGAAAGTTGCCAATTATGGTCACAGGCTGCTCACTCTGATACACATAGCCAATGGCTGTTGAGTATATCATTTGTTGTCTGTCTCACTCTGCAGAACCAGGCAGAGAGGACACTTTCATCTCTATTTGTGGGCTTCCTTAACTGTTGCGTACTTTGTTTGAACTTGACAGTCGTGGTATTTTCGTTGAATATAGCTAATCAGATCAAACTTTGTTCAGCTGCTCCTACTGTCAGTCGCATATCTATACAACACTACTGGGGCTGGCTGATATGACGAACACTTCCAATGCTTTACTTATACTATAACTTGTATCTCACCAGAACTTCAGAGTGAAAGGTCATTAAAAATTCTTTAAACTTCTTGAACTGGACTGTGAAAGGACAGGTTACTGTTTTACAAAAAAAAAGAAGCAATAAAAGTAAAAACATTGAAGTAAATCAGTAAATAATCAGGCATTAGTTGAGCTTTATTAAAAAATGTCTTTTCTTTTTCTGAGAATGACATTAATGTGTCCGTTATCATCTAAGTAAACCTTTTTGAGGCTTCTGTATCGCAGATAACTTTAGCTTGTTTTCAATGAAAATGTTAGCGAAATACAAAATTAAACAATTCCACCAGTTAAAGTCGTGTAATTTTCCCTAAAAGGGGTTCTCATTTAACTGTCAGTGTATGCATAAACAGAATGAGTCAGGATATCACAACAGCGATTACAGCATGATGTGTTGACTAAAGGTCACCAGATCTATTTTTTCAGGATAGAAAACCAAAGCACAGTGTTGGGTAACGCCTGATTGTGAAACTAGAATTATGTGAGCAGAGACACATATGTGACTTAACATGTGATTAGGAGAAAAGACTGCTTATAGGGCAAGGCAGGTAGGTAAAAGGTGAAATTTAGAACAAATGCAATAATAATAATAATAATAATAAAAATAATAATGATGATGATGATAAAAACTTGGATAGTGGATTTTGCATTTGCCACCATCATTGTCATTATTTATTTTCTTGTTTTGCTATTTGTTTGGAAAATGACACTCTTCACAGCTATCTACAGTGCATGAAAAAGTGTTCTTGGGTTTTTTCCTTGATGTTGCCTTTTAAGATTGAATTGTGATCAAATTTGCTTTTTTGACAAGACTTTGCAAAAAACAAACAACAACAAAACAACAAAAGAGTCTCTTTCAAAGCAGATTTCTTCGTAGTAATGTCCATTAATTAAATGGAGATCATCTGAGTGCAGTGAATGTGTCTCATATGACTGTAGTATGAAGACATCGGTGTCTGAAATGTCCAGCCACTGGTGAATCAGTACTCTATACTGAGAAGTACAAGTCAGGGTATGAATACCATACAACTTCAAAGTCATTGAATTTCCATTGGAGTACAGTTAAAGCCATTATTAAGAAATGGAAAGAATATGGCAAATGTATACGTCTACTGAAAAAGTGATGAACTGTGCAAGAAAATACTAGTGAGAGAGGACACCAAGACACCTATGACTCCTCTGAAGGAGTTACAGGCTTCAGTGGTTGAGATTGGAGGGACTGTGCATGTAACAATTGCTGGCCGGATTCTTCACCAGTCATGTGAAGAATGGGACAAGAGGAAACTGCTGTTGAAAAAGCTCTTTTTAAATAAAGTTTGCCAGAAGTTATGTGAAGTCAACTGGAAGATGACTCTTTGGTCTAATGGAACCACAATTGAGCTTTCTGACCTTCAGAGTAGATGCTGTGTTTGGCGAACACCATACATTGCACATCATTGCAAACATACGATCCCGACCGTGAAGCATGGTGGCAGCAGCGCCATGATGTGGGCATGCATCTTGGCAGCAGACCCTGGAAGGCTTGTAAAGGCAGAGGGTAAAATAAATACAGCAAAGTATAAGGAAATCCTGGAGGACAACCAGATGCAGCCTGCAAGAGAACTGTGACTTGGGGGGAGATTTATCTACCAGCGGCCCAAAGCAGAAATGGTTTTCAAACAACAAGGTGAACCAAGACCTCAATCTAATTGAGAAGTTGTGGTTGGACTTGAAAAGAGCTGTTCACTCTCGATTTTGCTTGGGCGGTTTTGCAAATATGAATGGGGTATAATTGTAGCGTCCACATGTGCAAGGCTGATTAAGACCTATCCACACAGGCTCAATGCTGTAATTACAGCCAAAGGTGCATCTAATACAAACTGATACTCATGAAATCACTTTGTAGGAGCCAAATTGAGCTTCATGTTGATTTGTTCTTTCTTGTTAGTAGTGGGTGTGAACGGGAGAGGGAGAGAGTGCATGTGTGCCCATTGGAGAATGAATGGCCATAGGTGTGTTTACCCCCACCTAGAGGAGACCAGAGAGTCTAGCTCCACCTGACTGGGTAGGTAGAAGGTGGAGCCCACGGAGGAAGGCTTATGAACCAGCTGCCACAGCATCTGGGTGTGGCTGAGGAAGGCAAACAGTTTTTTGACCATGTGACTGCATCAAGGAACGAGACTCTCTTTTTTAAAAAATTTATTTCAACTTATCTGTAATTCAACAACAATAAATGCAATAAATGGTCATTGGGACCCACTGGATCCACTTCTACTCCTCATCTTTCATCTGCATGTGACTAAATCCAGCTCAGCCATCAGTAGCAGCAGACTAAAGGGGTTTGCTGAAATTGCATTTTTAATTGGCTTTACTTTGCATAAATCTTTTTTTTTCACTTTGACATTAAAGAGTCTTGTTTTCCTCATAACACACTAAAAGTTATTGACCATAATTTAATGTTGAATAGCAAAAACAAAAACAAAACAGCAAAAAAAAAGAGCAAACTGTATCAATATCATTCTTTAACATGACCCCAAAAACTGGAATACCAACCCTCAGATCCATCTTTACTCCACGGTGGCTCATTACAATGCCTCGCTTTGACTGATTTAGGTAAAAGGGATCTTTTACTCCAGTCAGCCTCACTGGGAATGCTTTAAAGTAGGTTTCCAAGTCATATAATATAATATAATAAGATGTGTACTAATTTTAATCTGTTGCCTATTGAGAACATTTGACGGATGGTGATGATCGGTGATTAAATATGCATTAGCTCCTGATGAAAAAGGAAGGATGCGTATCACCTTCAAGGAGATTGTTCTGGCGGCGCCGTTTAAATCATTCACAGAAAGTGATACGAAGAGAAGGTGATTTAGCAGGACGAATGGTCGCTGACACGGGAGTGGACCCGCATGTGTTGTGGACTGAACAAGCCCAGACTAATAATCGAGATAAGTCGTTACGTAATAAATACGGAACCGCCTCCGTTTGGAGAGTCGAGGCCACTTCCGACTGTGATCGGCAGCAGCGTTACGCAGGAGAGAAGATGGGCTACTTTCCAGACTTTTCCATCGAGACTTGGACTTTAATAGTCATTTTCATCACCCTGGTTGCAATGTAAGTGCTGCGTTGTTAGTATCTGTAGCTCCGGAGTGTTTTAAAACTAGTTTTTTTTTAAGTTTAGGCCGAATGTGGATTCTAACAGTTGCATCCAAGGACCTGTTGCTCGGTGGGAAACGCTCGTTGTCGCGTAAAATAACAACGCCGTCAGTCAACAGAGAAGTTAGTTAGTGTTTTTAAACTTTCTGTTCCTTATTTTTTTTGCAGTTTCAATCGGAATCTTAAACAGTTATCAAGATCTCCTGACCACACATCATCATGTTGCATTAAAGGAACGTAGTCCACTCCAAAGCAGAAGTCAGATGCGCAAAAACAGCAAAATAGTTTTTTAATGATTTAAAAAAAACAATTGTATCATGTATCTGTTAGCACTCAGATTTTAATTTCACTTATTTATTTATTCATGCAAGGGCACAGGTGACTTTTAAAAGCTAAATGTAATATGATAAACTAGAAACCCACATACATAATAAATGACTTCTGTTTAATTAGATAAGTTAAAGCCCTTCAGTTTGTCCCACTTCAAGACTGAAGTCACGTGGCTTCAGTGGACAAAAACAAGCTGTAAGTCCTTTAACAGAAATGAGTTGAAGTCAAGTCATTTGTGAGGGGTGTGGTTGTGTTTTTGAGGGGGATAGTGTATACTAACCTGCAGGGGAGAGAGAACAGGAGAAGCCTGGAGATTTGTGGGCCATTATCAGTACTTCCTCACTGGCCAGAAAGTTGCCAGGTCATGGAACAAAAGCTCCTCTGGGTATTTCATATGTTACATAATAAGAGTACAGTAGTTTAGATAAACTACATTGGCTGGCAGATAGATTGATGTTTAGGGAAGATATGTAAAGAGCTGAGCAAGTTCCTGTAACAAAAAACAAGGACACACAGGGTCTTTGGAGTGCCAATAGTCCTTTTTGTAGGATTACAAAGTGTGTGTGTGTGTGAACTTGTTGACGTGAAATCAGTTTAAAATGCACAGATGAATCTTTCATTTGACAATTTAAGGCTGTAGAATACTACTGATTCAGTCTGCCTCTTTTAAAATGAAACTTTGCCCCAAATCTCTTTGCACACACCACTATGTAAACTTGAGAAGTGTAGTTTTGGCAAATGTGAACTGTAAGGCCTTTGACCATGCACTCAAATGCTTTGTTTTATTACGTCACTAGTCAGGTTGTAAATCATGCTGGTAGTAACATGACCCCAGATTACGTGTGGGACAAATGAAGATGATAAAGTTTGTGTGCTGTTGGAGCTGGATCCCAATCTACCAGAAACTATGTGTGAGATAGCTCCTGCACATAGGAGAAGATATTTAGGTCTCACTCAATGTATTTATTTGTCAGGTAGTTGAACAAGCAAACTTCTCACCCTAGCACCAACAAAGTTCATGTCAGGGCATGAAGTCTGACTGACTGCCTCTCTCTGATCCAGTGTGCTTAAACTATTACATGAGGATGAGCACAGAATGTGTTGCAGCTAGCTGATTGGCTCCTCCATGTCCTTGGGCCTTCTTCCACCATCTCTTAGGTGCAGAAACTTGCCACTCTGCACCCAACTGTTGAGCACCCTCAGTTTCTCCCTCCTGCAAATACCTGCTTGTGACAGAGAAAGATAAACCACCAAATCCTGTTTCTACCTCCGTTATGTCCAAGTTATGTTGATTATGCCTTAAGATAATAATAAAAGATTAAGATAATAATAAGAAGTTCAAATAATACGAGATTATCAAAATATGAATGTAAAATATATGAGCCTAACAGTGCAGAGATGTTTAAAACAATGCTTTCAGGAACCCTTTCCAAGGCAGACATTTGAGATAATCAAGGTGCAGAAATTAACATAATTACAGCAATTTTCAGTTTCAGTAAATCCTTTTCACCATTTTAGTCATAGAGCACATCGCAGGTGTAACCGTTAGCCCTAACAGTGGCCGCATTTCATTCAGGTGAATCAGTTCATACAGTTCCTAGTGTTGTGTGAGCCAGAAAACTGAGCTGTCATTGACAAAATTAATGACACCCGATGACGTTGTACAGATTCTGCCATAACAAGTAAAAATTTCTGCTGTGTCAGAGGTCTGCCGCGCCCGTCTCAAGTTTCCACCCTGAAAATATGTAAACAAGTGTCAAATCGATCAATACCGTCCATAGAAACCACGGCTCAGTATGCTAAAACAAAACAACGAGACAGCCCGATGAAAAGTTGCTTTTCCTGCAGGACTGGTTTGTGGTCTGAGGATTTTCGAGCTGCATAAAGTGGCTGAAGACAACACCTTATTATGTAAAAGACAAAACTGCTAACTTCTAACAGCAATCTGTCAAGCCTACAGAGACTCAGCACTGATTTGAGCTGGGCACCCATATGGGAGAGGTGCACCCTTTGCATAAAAAATCTTTAAATGGATTTGCATGCAAAGGCTCAAGTGTACTCAAATGATAAGCTATTGACATTTAGATAATTTCTGTGAGCATTTTGAAGATTGGCAAAGCACATATTGACTGATAACAATTAACAATTAGCATTCAGTGAGAGAAATTTATGTTGGGGCTGTAAAATATGTCTCATAAATTGTCCAATTACCGACAGGACAATTTTATGGTTGCAGTCTTCTGGGTGTTCACTGAGGATGGAATGTTTAGGCTACAACTCTTTACAGTACAAAGTCGAGGAAATTTAGAAGCACAAGTCCAAAAACGTCATCAGATAAGCATGATATTCACCCACGACAATCTAACAACTTGGTTTATAGCAGGGGTCTCGAACTCCGGCCCTCGAGGGCCGCAATCCTGCAAGTTTTAGATGTTTCCTTCTTCCAACACACCTGATTCAAATGATCAGGATCGTTATCCGGCTTCTGCAGAGCTTGATGATGAGCTGATCATTTGAATCAGGTGTGTTGGAAGAGGGAAACATCTAAAACTTGCAGGATTGCGGCCCTCGAGGACCGGAGTTCGAGACCCCTGGTTTATAGTATGTTCACACAAACTAAGCAAATCATCAGGGCCCTTCTGCTCTGCCGTCTCTGAGGAGTTTTAAACTTTTTTAAATGATGAACTATGGACATTTAAAATTGTGTACATGGAATTTTAGATTGATATATCAACTTACCAAGATATCTGTTTTTTAATTGCCTGCTGACCTAAGACCAGCTAGGTATTTCACTGACAAGCAAAGCTTTCTTTAAACATGTTTGTGTTCTGAGATTTGCATGAGACCCCATCCATAATTGATGAATATATACATAAACAACTTTGTGCATCAGATATGACTCGCTTGCACATTTTTCTTGAATTTGAGGCTGTGTTTGGATGACAATATCTCAGGAAATATCTATTAAAGTTGAAAGCCTGTAACTTCCCTGTTATTTCTCATCATGTTATTGATTCAGAATCTGCAGGACAATGCATTCAGCCCAATATGTGCTGTCTCAAGTGATGATGTTATGTGCTTGTATTCAAAAACCATTTTTCTTACTTATATTAGGAGAACCATTTTGAAACTCCAAACCTCTGTTCTAATTGAATTAGATTAGTTTTTGAGGTACAGCTCGTCACACCTGCTCGATCAGTTATGAAAGACAAAATAAAACAGGTTAATTTTCACTTTTGTAACAAAGTTTTTCATATTAGTAAATGTTTTGTTTGTATTATAGGAACATGCAAGTGCGTGTGGGTCAGAAAATATCAGTCGCTGGCATTATTATCTTTTTCCTAATGTATGCACTAAGATGAGACCTTTCATAATGACTTCAGTGTTTAGTAATATCTTTAGAAATATTTTCATTTTATGCTATAATTATCTCAGGCCAATCAGAAGAGGTCGAGTGGATGCTGTTCTTAAAATTGGATGATTTGAGATGGCTGAAGTTTAAATTGGACGATGTCATAGTGGAAGCTAGAGCTGTGTGACGTTTATGATAACAAGTGCAAACCTGGTCTTTAAATGCCAAAAGAAAACAACAATTATTGTAATTCAGGTCAGCAATGCTGTATTTTTTCCTTTTCGTTTATTGTAAAAATATGCAAGAGAAAAGAACAAAAACCCACAGAAAGGCAAAGGAGTAAAGCCTGTAGGAATTGTAGTAAACAAAAGAAATGCTGATCCATACGAACATGTGGCATTGGTCTCAGTTTTGTTTTTTTTAATCCTGCTTTTCATTCTCAGTTATGGATATGCTCCATATGGCTTTTTCAAGAAAATAGGCATCCAGGGACCCAAACCTTTACCTTTCATTGGGACATTTCTGGAGTACAGACAGGTGGGACACATTTGCCAGATTGCTGCAGTGATCCATGCTGACACTGCACTGATAATGCTTTGGATAATTTATATGCCTTTGTCACTTCTTTCTCATTTTATTCCTCAGGGCATCCACAATTTTGACACAAACTGCTACAAGAAGTATGGGAAGATGTGGGGGTCAGTGTCTGCTCTATCATACCTTACCGTATCAGATCATACATTTCCCATGTAATGTTTCAAGGCTGTAACCGAGTCCCTGAAATATCTGCTGTTACGTTTCAAGGATTTACGACGGCAGACAGCCTTTATTGGCTATAATGGACACCGATATGATCAAAACGATCCTGGTGAAAGAGTGCTACTCCGTGTTCACCAACAGACGGGTAAGAAAGCACGCTGGAGAGGCCATTTTTGCAAGTTAATTCCTCGGCACCAACCACAGAACACACTAGAAACATCTGTGTGTGTGTGTGTGTGTGTTGCGGGTTTTCTGGGTGGTTTAGGATTTGGGCCTTAATGGACCGTTGCGTGACGCCGTAACGGTGGTAGAAGATGAGGAGTGGAAGAGGATTCGCAGTGTGCTCTCACCATCATTCACCAGTGGTCGACTGAAAGAGGTTAGAAAGCACATAGCAGATTTTTTTTGATGTCTTTTTTTTTTTTTTGTCATTTTAGTACATTATGTGCATGTTTAATGAGTTGTTGTTTTCTTTATTTTTGGGCAGATGTACACAATAATGTTGAAGCACTCAAGCAATCTGATCAAGAGTCTGCACAAGAAAGTGGAGACAGATGCAGTTGTCGAGGTTAAAGAGTGAGTTCACTTGTGCAATTAAAAAGTATATATATACTGATTTACATGAGGTTTTGTGCTTTTCTTGTTATATTCTCTTACCTGATTAATAGGTACTATTGTTTTTGAGTCACGTTTGCCTTTTTTGCAGAATCTTCGGGCCGTACAGTATGGATGTTGTGACCAGCACCGCCTTCAGTGTGGACATTGATTCTATCAACAAGCCCGCTGATCCTTTTGTGGCAAACATCAAAAGAATGGTCAAGTTTAACTTGCTGAATCCTTTGTTTGTGCTTGTGGGTATGTCAAATGTCACACTGCAACCACAATGCCCATCTTGTCCACTTGAGTGCTGAATTAACTGTATACTATTCATTTCAGTTCTGTTTCCATTTTTATCGCCACTTTTGGAGAAGATGGATGTGTCATTCTTCCCCAGTGACGTGTTGAAGTTCTTCTACAGCTTTCTCAAGACGATCAAATCAGACCGGAATAAGGATGAACACAAGGTAATCCAGGGGTTTAACAATGGATTTGATGTTGGCCTGTTTGTATTTTGGGTTCATAATATTATTTCCTTTAATCGTTTCTATTGTTGTCTGGCAGAGCCGAGTGGACTTCATGCAGCTGATGGTAGATGCTCAAATTTCGGAGAGCAACAAAGAAGATGCAGGCTCCCAAAAAGGTTAGAGAAAGAAACCAGGTGGAGACGTTAATTGACGCCGATTGTCGCGAATTCGCATCAAACCGCTTCTGCTCACAAATGCAGTCAAAATAGCGTCTCTATTCCTCAACTGCCGGTTGATGCAGTTTTTTTTTTTTAAATAATAGGAAGTAAATTCAGGCGTCAAGGGGTTTTAATGTTCATATTTTTTTTCTGTTGTCAAGGCTGAAGCAAAATACTTGCTGTTGAGTGAGTTTTTACAGCCGGTAAAATAATAATACACAGCCGGTGTGTATAACATTATGTTTTCTATCAATCACTGACATATAAAAATAGATGTTTACAAGGAAGTAAGAAATGTCCTCTTACACGATGTTGCCACATAAATGGCTTTACAGGGACAGCAGTATTTTAAGCAGTGGCTGCTAAACATCAGCAAAAAGTTGTCTACCTGTCCATAACTGTTATCAGGATAGTAAAATGTGTGTGTGATTGTGTTGCAGGACTGTCTGATCAGGAGATTCTTGCTCAGGCCATGATATTTATCTTTGCTGGTTATGAAACCAGTAGCAGCACACTCAGCTTCGTGGCCTACAATCTGGCAACCAACCCTCACACCCAAAAGATCCTGCAGGAGGAGATTGATAAAACCTTCCCTGAAAAGGTTCCTTGACTATTTTGCCTACTGTAAGTCATTTTGTGTTTTACAAGCAACTGGCCCTGAGCTACCAGCTGACGTTACACTTTGTCTCCAACCAGGTTCGGCCAACCTACGATGCCCTGATGCAGATGGAATACCTGGACATGGTGGTGAATGAAGCAATGAGGCTATACCCCATTGCTACTCGATTAGAGAGAATGTCGAAGGCTTCTGTTGAAATAAACGGTGTGACTATACCTAAGGGAACCGTCATCATGGTACCAATTTACACTCTCCAGCGTGATCCTTCTTTGTGGCCAGAGCCTGAGGCCTTCAAACCTGAAAGGTACTACACTGGATTAATTGCAGTTTAATTTTTACATTTTGTCTTTGGTTTACCAACTTGGGATATTTGTGTTTTTTCAGGTTCAGCAAAGAGAATAAGGACAACATAGACCCTTATGCCTTCCTACCCTTTGGAGCTGGGCCAAGGAACTGCATTGGCATGCGATTTGCACTCCTGATGATGAAGTTGGCTGTTGTGGAGATCCTTCAGGACTTCAGCTTTGTCACATGCAAGGAGACAGAAGTGAGAAGACATTGTCAATATTTGTGGTCTAAAAATAGTAACAGGTTTTTATAGATGGTTAACTTTTGTGGGCTTCATGTGGGGTACTTTTTTTTTTTTTTTTTTTAACATTTTTAATTTTTTTTTTAGATTCCATTGGAGCTGGCAGCTGATGGATTCATGACACCCAAGAACCCAATCAAGCTGAAGCTTGAGCCCAGGACAAGGAGCTAATTCTGATTAAATGCAACTTGGCTTGTCTCAGTTTTGCCCTTTCATTATCCATATAAAGTAACATATGCTGCCTCAAGTGTCTCTTTTAGAAAACACTTTTTTTTTTGCTCAAAAATAAATTAAACACTTGTTTATGTCAAGCATGCACAGTGTACTGTATATCAAAGCACTAATCAAAGAAGAGCATATATCAGTAGTCTAGATTTCATTTCTACTGTGCTGTCGATTTTTCTAAGCACAACTGTTTATATTTAGAGGACACACCTTAATATGACAGTAGATCATGCATACTTTCACTAATCATTTCGTTCACATTACCTCAAAACTGTACACTTTCAATAAACGGAGTTCTACAAATCAAACGACAGCTGATGCTTTTGTCATGTCTTTCTTATCCACGGACGCAGTTTTATACAGTTTGCTGTAATCTTTTTAAATCTTGAATATTAAAAAAATACCACAAATGTAGCTGTTTAAAAATACGTCTCAATACCATTTTGTTGCTTTGTTGTCACTATGTGTGATCGAGATGTCTATTTACTTTCCTTCCTTATCTTCTTTAGGGAAAGTCCTGACTGGAAAAAAGCAAAATTACCTCACAGTTCAAATGTATGGATTACATTTTTTTAATGAATACTGTGACATTGTTGAGAGAGTTGTATATTAGTTATCAAGTTCGGCCTGTTTGCGTGTTGTTTTCTGGCCGGTTGCTTGTCCTTTTCTTATAAGATGAACCTAAATATACCAGGACCAGGAAACAATATAGTCATGCTAAATCACACATAGTTTTTGACTTTGTATTTCATTTACCTTGTAAAAAGGCTCACATTTAATTTGGTCAGTGTGAGGTCTCCCTGGTACATGTTTGAGGCAGGCATTGACAACACTTGAAAAATGTATGCAGCTCTGTACTTGTACTGCACTCGGTGGTGGACTCGACCGTCTGATTGGCAAGGATGAAAAATTAGAAAGGGCACTGGATACATTAATGGGCCCTAATTAGAGCAGAGCAATAACATTATTTGTATAAAGGTTACATTCTCAATAAAGATGAATATTTTATAGGGTGATTTTGACTAAGGATAACCCCTCTATATGAAAAAAATATTGTTTGAAAGCTTTTTTTTTTTTCTCTTTCATAACACTTTAAGTTTAGAACTGCCTCTACAAGGGCGTTACAGTCACCTTTGTATTTTCTTCAGCTTCCTGCAGTTTAGTGACTTTCTGTAATCACAGTGCTGGTCTCCCTCTCTGTAAGTCAGAGGTCTCGAACTCCGGTCCTCGAGGGCCGCAATCCTGCAAGTTTTAGATGTTTCCTTCTTCCAACACACCTGATTCAAATGATCAGCTCATCATCAAGCTCTGCAGAAGCCTGATGACGATCCTGATCATTTGAATCAGGTGTGTTGGAAGAAGGAAACATCTAAAACTTGCAGGATTGCGGCCCTCGAGGACCGGAGTTCGAGACCCCTGCTGTAAGTTAATCCAAGCTAAAAAGGCTGGAAATTCGATTTTAAAAAGAACCCACAATCACAGAATTACAATAAAAGATTTCGAATGCAAAAGATGGTCAGTTTATAGTGTGTGATTGTGATTGCTTGATTATTTGAAATGGAGTATTTTACACAGTTTTATTGCACTTTAAGGAATACTTTAGTCTGAACGTTGGTATTTGTTGAATTGCATTATATTAACTGTACTAGATAAATACTAAGCCAGTGGAAAAACACGCAGAAACATACTGTTGCATAACTGGATTAGTGTCCAAGACTGCACATAACCTTGAATCAATATTTGACAATGTAATGGCACCTGTCAGTGCTTTATGGCTTCATAATATGAATATGAGGAACTCCTCAGTACAGTTTGTGGTCTGGATTTACAGTTTATTTAACACTAAACATTCTATAGTAAGTACTGAATAAGAAGTATACAGAGGTGATGATGGCAGGCTTGTAATGTGGAACTCTTTTGGTTATAATTCGTGCGTAATTGGCACAGATCATCCAACCGAACCATCTCGTCTGTCCAGTTTCCTTCTTTTCAAAAAAAAATAAAAAGGGAGCAGAGGGACAAAAGAAGGAGAGGTAAGAAGAAAGACTAGACTGTTCAATGCCCTGACCTCTCCATTATCATCTGACAGAACCACTCCTCTTTGCACTGTTTTGAGTCATGATACTTCCGCAGCAGGTGCGCAACGTCCCCGAAACACAAATGGACCTGCAGGAGACCCAAGGCAAATAAAGCGTCAGTACTGCGCATAAAATTAGACTGATTGACGCTAAAGAGCTGCAAAACCACATGAGTTACAATACTCTAAACTGTGGGAATGAGGTAAAATCTAGCAAGACACGTTCCATGCCGACTCCGCCTTGTGATACTGCCACTGGCCATGGAGGGGAGTTGAAACACTGTGAGACAGAGCTGCCAGCCCTCTTCTCCACCAGGCGTCAGTTTTTAGGAGGGATTTTGTGAAATAACCTGCTTGCAAAGTGAGTTTATGCATTTGTCTGTGCAGGAGCAACATTCGCAGGTACTTGCAAATTAATTAAATATTGCATTGTGGCTTCTGGGTTTGAAACTCCCCGCACTCGTGGACTTCAAACTCTTTGAAACTACACGTCAAAACAACTCGCGCATTTCTTATGCGATCACACAAATCTGCCAACTCCTCGAGGGATCACGCTGGGACGCAGGAGGGAGCAGAAATCCAACATTGGACGTCCGAAACAAAGAGGTTTATCCCGCAGAAACGGGAACGCCCTTATCCCCGCCCCACTAGCGGCAAACCCGGCAGCCATTGGTCAGATCGCAGCACTACGGCGCTCTGATTGGCCGAGAGCCTCGTCATTGAACGTCTGTTGTTCACGTTCGCCTCGGCGCAAGAGCGCCTGTGACAGTGGAGTGCTTTGATTCATGCTGTTGTGGAGTCTCATTTTGGGATTTGGAGAACAATTAATGCGGCCAGAACGGAGCGCATGAAGGTACGTTGCGGGGAAATATTTACCACTGGCTCTCAGAGATTGTAAATACAATATCAATGGTGTTTTTTTTTTGTTTTTTTCAATAAGAAAGCAAAATGCAGAAGTCCATAGACAGGTTTGTGACCCAGTCTGATATTTGCTCACGGCTATAGGCTTTGCCATTTCTGCTCAAGTGAAACTTTACAGTTTTAAACTAGGCATGACTTTGTTCTTTATAATAATAGTTAAACATGTTTTTGAATCAATAATGCAGGAAAAAAATCCCAGAGATTTGTCGTTTTTTTTATGGGGAGTTCAGTTACAGGCAAATGGGTGTGAGTGCTTCAGTCATATTGATGCAATATTGATTTTACCATTATCACTGCAGGCAGACTATATAGATAATAGCTAATGTGATGTTTTTGTGATGTTCGTGGCACTCATCAAGTGAACTGAATGTTAGTAATGTGGAAGATAATGACAGTCCCTTGTGTCAGACAAAGGCCCTGGACGGCAGGTGGATCCTGAGCTGTTCCTGAGCAACCACAGCAATCATTTAATGCTCTGAGCACACACAGAGGAAGTCTCTCCTGCACACTGACCATGTCATCACGGATGAATAAAGTTAAATCTGGCCTTTATTTGCTATCTGAGAGGAAATGAAAGAAAACAGATAATGATTTGTGTCTGAATGCACCTCAGCAGAAATGGGTGGTACAGTCTCACTTTGACACTTACCACAGACCAGTGTTGTCAGATTGGCTGCTGCATGATTCTAACATTGATGTGTGAAGCTGGCTTGATCGTGAGCTGTTGATTTGCATCATCTAATGGCAAAACCACTCACATGGGGTCATCTATCAGCGCTCACACAGCCCCAACTGCCACTTGAAACCTCTGTGGGCTACAGAGAGGGGTTTTCAGGGATGATTCCCGGGGTGTGGGTATCCCTGGAATGTGGGAATAATTTTCCATGGACGCAGATTTATAGATATCGGGTGACATATCGCGAGTTTGGCCTACTTTGACAGCCAAAACTTCAGACGCGCATAAATATCTGAACCAAATCGACTAGTATCAAAGTATGTGTGTGGTTGGGTCGAGCTGGGAAACACACACTCGCAACACGTAACAAGTTAGCAGCCAGTAAATACCTACCGATTCACACACACAGTTGCCTTGCTGTGAATGTGCGGGGAGCCACAGAATGCAGGCAGGAATTTTGGAGACACAAAGAATGTTCTGGGACACTGCTATAAGAAAGTAAACAGTTCACTTTCACCCTTCATAGCAGCAAGGAGGAGGACAGGTTTTATTTAAAGTGAAGATATGCTTTCACTTTTAATATAGACAGGGGACAAATTAAAGGAAAAGAATAAAATACATAGATTAGAGATTCTTCTACATAGAGCAAAAAGGGTCAGTGAGTGGTTTGGTAAGTGTGAAAATGATAAGAATTACGTTCTATGGCTTTCCCAGACAGATGATCTCAACTCTCTGAACCATTACATTTGGGACCTGCACAACAGACAGTGTTCACAATCGTCAATCCGCCTAAAACATCTGTAAAAAAAAATGGCGTGTAATTCACCAGTGAGTTTCAAATCTGTGCGAAAATACACTCAACTCATTGTGGCAGCCCGGCGCTTTAATTGGCAGATTTTAATTGAGCTTCTGTTAGTGACTTGCTGCTCACACATCCCTTGTCAAACACATAATTAACACTGAGGAGCAGTCACAGTCCGAGGAGCTGATCTGAAAGTGACTTCATTCCCTATTTACCAGATGAAGTCAACTTTGAATTGGGTGTTTTGTCTTTCTCTCAGTTTTAAGGATGATGTCAGCCGTGTGAGGCGCTTTATGTCTGACCGCTGTGATCTATCTGATGAATCACAGGATGCAGTGGACGGAGTGCAGGATGGCTAAGATGTTAAAAGTTTTTAAAAAAATAAGCAGTTTCAAACAGTCACATTTGCCTAACAGTCTTGGGATTTGGAGCATACGGATACCTCACAGTAGGTAGTTGGGACTGAATGAAGCAGACAACTGTCCTCGGGCCTTTTGCAACTTAATGTGCAGATATGCTAATGACTTCCTGTTTATAACCCTGAGCACAACCCAGTGAGGCCACAGATGGGACCCCAAGTCCCATTGTATATTACTCCTGTGCCACTCACTGAAATTACACACGGAGAAGCCACCATAATGTGCTGTTCTACATAAAAATCCATTTGTAATACCCAGAAGTATTCAAATTTCTTGACTCTGCAGATTCTTCGAATTTCATTTTCTGGTAATTTCCTTCCTTTATGAAACCCTCGTTGAATAGTCTGCCACTGTATCGTATTTACCTGAATAAATAAGAATATATATCTCACTGTAACTCTTTCCTGTTCTCTCTGTCTCCATCGCTTTAGGAGGAGAAGATGAATGTGGAGGCTCTAAGCAGAGCAGAGCTGCTGACTCTCCTCAGTGTCTTGGAGGGAGAGCTGGAGGCCCAGGATGTAGTCATACATGCCCTCAGGGTGAGTGTGGAGCTCACAGTCATGCTCATTACAGGACATCTCAAGTACATTTAGGAGTGTATGCACATAAATAGTTACGACATAGCACAATAATCATGTAATGGCCATACCAGTTTTTAAATCAGTATACTCTTTGACACACTAAAATTAGCCTGTTTCAGCATTACAATCCCAAAAAGAATGTGAGCTAACAGGAAAGGGATGTGTAAATAGGAAACTTGGGAAACAGAGCTGGTGAGGACAATGGAACGCTCCCAGATCTTTACATCCAACAGAGCCCCAGTATTAGTGCTGGTCAGACCCGTCTTTAGCTACAGTTGCAGTCTGCGTTTCTCTTTTTTCTTTTTCATCAGTTCAGGCACTTTTCAGCTCTGGATATGACCATATTGTGTCTAGACTGAGGTCAGACCGACTGGTGTGTCATGTGTGATCATTTGTACCCACCTTGGTTTTAATCTGTGAAATTCCTAGATGCTTATCAAAAACAAAATTGGGTTTAGGAGAAGAGGACTTTGGGACCTCTGTGATATGTTGTATTTTATGTATTTCTAAACCTCACAACAGTTGTTTAGCACAAGCAAATCCGCTGCATCCAACTGTGTTTGGAACGCTAAACACAGGCTATGAAGATGACTGGATGCATTTACACTCACACTGCGCTTACCATTTGTGCACAGATGACCGAGACAAGCACTGAATGCTTTGAACTTCATTGTCAATTTGCACAACTTGACTCACCAAAGTGCACATTGTGAATAGCACCTCAGACATGACTCAACAACAACCTTCTCGTATTACAGATGCCTACTGTTTCATACTTACAGTAAGGCGACAAATTAAAGGAAAAACCAACATCACGTGTCTCAGTCGGGTGCTAGGCCACAACATGCTGCCAGAACAGAGATTCTTCCAAAAGATATAGCCTCAGATGGTTCATTCAGTCATAAATTTCCCATAGGTAAATGAATTGCATCATTTTAATACTCATCCCATGATTCAGGGAGTGTTCTGTGGATAGGAGTGTTGTCATCCTGGAATAGGCCACTTCCATTGTGATAGAACTGTTTCATCATAGGTGATCACAAAGGTGTGTTAATTTGCATTGACCTGCCCTCTAAGAGGACAAGTAGACTGAAATCATGCCAGAAAAATACCCCAAAACCCTCATCGTAGGGGTTTAGGGCTCCAATTTTTTCCTTAAATTTGTCACAAGTCTGTGCGTTTCCCTTTAATTCCAAATCAGAGCAGCCCATTAAGTCATATTCAAGTGAAAGAGCATAGCTTTCCTTCAGCAATAATACATTTCAGTGTTTGAGCCTCGTCTGACTGTTTCTCTCTTTGCCCCTGGCTGCTTTTCACACTCGCGGCCACAGCAGGTGTTCCAGGCTGCAGGATGAAACTGCTCCGACTCTGAATGCTTGACTCACCGTTTGAAACAGACACTGAGTCTGTGATTACGACAAGCAGCAACCACGGCCGTCCTGTTGTATTAAATAGGCCTTGATAGTGAAGTTTATCTAGTAAGCCAGTGAGGCTGTAATCATGAGAGAATGTCAGTGCCAGGGCCCGAAGGAAAGCCACTCTAACCGCACCAGCTCAGATGCAGCTTAAATGGCAGCCATCCAGATCTGAAGCATGCAGCGTTTGACCCAAAACTCAACATGCACACACACAGCCATTCCCTTAGGACAAATGTGCGGTCGCCTTGTTGTCGCTACTTACTCCTCTTTCCGTATCTCTAGCTCTTGCTGCGATTTTTTTTTCCTTCTATCTCCTTTCCTCCCTCTCTCTTACTCAAACACGGCCACATTACGGGGGGTCTTTCATGTTTAACCGTGACCCATGTCTTATCTGCCCACTCACATTTTGGTGGTCTCCACTGGGCCACTCATAGGCTGCAGTGTTTATTGTGGAGAGGATGTACAGAGCTGTAGGCTCAAATCACTGACTTCCCTTGTTCCTGCTGGGAGCCTGTGCAGTAAATTACCAACCGGTCACCGTTAGGGCAAATAGTGTGTAGAGGGGAGTGTCAGAGGCAAATGTGTCCAATACTGGGCTTTCTGTGGCTGAATTTGGCATCCAGAGAGTCTGTGTAGATTCTCTGCCATCCGGTTCAGGGTAATCCCAAGAGATTCCAAAGAAGGAAACTAGACTTCTTTTTTTGTTTTGTTTTTGGTCCAAAAAGAGAATTCCAGTTGCCTCCCACTGAATCCTTTAGATACACCCAGGAAATGTATTCAGACCGTCCATCTTTCTCTGTCTTTGCTGATTTTGATATTCCACAAGCGATCGCTCGTCTCTAACTAGAGCTGTCTTTTCTTTGTGACACCTAACAAGCTGCATTAATCAAACTTCCAGTGTGTGCCAATGATGTTTACTTGCATGAGAGAATAGTGGAGAAAGAGGCGCGTTCTTTCTTTCTCTTTCCACTCTGTTAAATATTGTCTCTTCACAGCAGCAAGTACTTGGGATGCCTGCAGATTGCTCCGGACAACCGTCCTCAATCCCTTTTTTTCCCCCCGCTTCCTTCACTCGAAACCCTTCAAAACGTTAAACCACGTCAGTGTTTGCTTAATCGCAGGATGGCATGGCGTCACCTATTGGACTTGTCTCTACAGATTCTTGATCGTACTGTTTCTAGTTCTCATCACTTAGGATACAGATAAGCAGTTTTACTAGAGGGAACATTCCTGAGAACATGACACCAGAAACAGGTCCTGCATTCCAAGAGGAGTGGCATATTTTCTGAGCTGTCGATTGTCTTCATCTATAGGTAACTAATGCTATTATTGTCTTCTGTCTGTTAGGCGTAAATGGAATAATAGAGTGGCTCAAAAGAGTGTCGGGTAAAGACAGAAAACGATGAGAGAGACACCTGTTCCTTAAATACTCCAGGAAGGAACCTTAAGTCTGTCCTTAATTGTTCTCTAAAACAACTGAAACAACAAAACAAATTTGTCGACATTGAGATACTTTAGATCTGTGTAGAGCGACTGCTTCTAAACTGTTTTTGTTAAAGACTCTGTGGTCTTGTGTCCCTGTGACCAAAGAGTTCCCGTAAGCTTTATGTGATTCAGATATTGCATTCATTTTCTGAAGAAGGACCGGTTTTGTTTTCCATATGATGTCATGTCCTGTAATCCTAAAACGCTTCATCTATTTTTGCAGGCTGACGTGTTTTCCTGACTCCATAAACAATAGGGTCTGGCTACAGTGTGTTGCTAAGATAAGAGTGTATATTCTTTTACTGTTCCAGTCACTGCCCAGTTTGGACATGTTGTCAAGAGTGGTAGGGGGAAAAGATTTTAAATGGAGCAAGAAGTGCACAAAAGGTTCTCTTAGAAACAAGGTAAGATTGTAATATGCACTGGTCTGTGATGTCAGTGAAGTGCTTCCATATCAACAGCCTGAGGCCTGCAAGTGACCTGAAAATGTTCAGATGACATCAAAGTACCTAATCTTACCTTCTTTTTTTTCCTTCTAAGTGCTCAGAAACACCCACACAGCAACACACATCAGTGATTCGTCCATAGGAGCAACATAGATCGGGTAGTGGTAGTGTCTTTTTATGGCAGCCTCTCTTATGACTAAACTTGAAAGTAAAGGTTCCTATCTAACCCCACCCCACACTGCTATTTGCACTGAATCTGACAGCGTTTGCCTTCAACAAATAAAATATAAGCAATACAAGAGGTCAGTCCGAACTATGACAGCAGCCAGTGGATCCAGAGATAATACTAAGTTGCTTTGTCACTGAGGTTTGACCCTAATATCAGCAGCAATAAATAACCGTGTCAGTTTAATTTTTGACTCAGTCTCAAGATATAACAGAGCATTTCCGTGTTCCGCCCAGTGATATGGTATCTCTTTTCAAAAGCGGTGCTTGACCAAAGGCTGAGAGCACCTGCTTCCACTTTTCGTCACTAACCCACTGATGATAACGTTTGAGATAGTTAAACATTACTGAGACAAACCTGTCTGGTGTTTTTACAGTTATCTCAATGCTGTCTGTGGTTAATGTGTGGGTGGGAGGTGTGGAGGATACAGCTTGAGCCTTAAGCACACACCTTAGCGTACACTACATACATCATGCACCTAAAATCTCACCTCTCTCTCTCCTTTACTGCCATTTGGAGAACAACAAAAGCCTGTAGGTGGAACAGGCATTGTTTACGGATGAATGACGCTGTCTTACAAGTCCGTTTTTGTACCATTGCCATGTGTACCTTCAAATGACCAGAACGTACAGTACATATACAAAATGGCAAATTCGTGTGCTGCTGTACAGAAGTGGCATGAAAACTCACCAGCTTCCTACGCTGCCAATATGCTAGTAGTTTTTGAAGGTGCCACACTGCTGCAGGGCATTTCTGCAACAGTAGGTGAGTGTGTAGCTCCTGTATAAGGAGTGTTAAGGGTTTCTTTTTGTCTCACACTGCTGTGTTCTCTAAAACAACTGCATGTGCCACTAGGTTATGTTTTTACACCGATATGCTTTGCGTGTGCAAATGGTTTATACTACTTATTTCTCTCACCATCCCTGCTCTGACAAATCCACTGTCTGCTGATGGTTCAGCGCTGAACTGTAACATTCATTGACAGCAGATTAATGAGGCAAAAATGTCAGGTTTATCTATCTGTTGTTAAACTGACAACACAGTAAAGTGTGCAGACAGTGAAGGAGTCACTATACAATATTTCTCTGAAAGTGAATCTTTAACTCACATCTTGTATCATGTTGTGTGAAGCAAAACTTAACATGGGGCACGTAGATGTGTAAATACACAATTGTCTGAAAATTACCAATAACATTCTTTAAGTTAGTCATATGTCATACGTGTGGCCAGAGAGCTTGTGCAGTTTCACTGCCTACAACCTACTTTCAGTAGGTACATTTGCAATTTGGGCTCTTTCAGGACAGCATTGCATACACTTACCATGTCAAGGGGTTGTGTTTCAAACAATTATGTTGTCGTTAGTGGTTAGTTAGCTAGTCATTAGCCTCCAGCACCACGTTGTCTCACTAAGCTGTATTTCTGCTGCTCAGCCAAACTGTTGGGTGGGTATGTGATATGTTGTTATACTTAATGATCATTTTCTTTTACTTTTCACCACTGCTGCCTGACAAGAAGACTTTGTAGTCACATGCAGCAAACGTCCAGTGAGTTAAGACTCACACAGGCAATGATATGCAGATAAGTATATGCTTGCATTACATTTTTCTTCCACCCACGGTATTAGGTTGGTCAGAAGGAGTAAAACGGTACATCTGTAACAGGAGATGCTCATTCAGAGCTGTGTTTTTTTTTTTCCATGCTTGCTGCTTAGTTCATTGTGTGGCACTCCATTACTAAGGAAACAGGACTCCTTGGCTCTTTTCAGCTCACAGAAGGCCATGATTGTGCCCTGAGGCTGTAGGTAACTGACTGACACACAATTTCTAAAGGTGAAAAGCATCAGGTTGTCCTTCACACCTTGTTACAGTAGCAGGAATGCATCGGATGAAAAAGGCTGCTGAAGGAGGCGATGATCAAACATGCTGTAGCACAGCCATTTTAATTGAACAACACTGCAGGCAGTTGTTAAGGAATTCTTAAGTATTCAATGAAAATTAAAAAATACACTAATTAAGACAGTGAACAGAAAACGCTATTTGCATAAAATATATTCTTTCCCACGACTTGCTGTCGAGACATTTGTCATCAGCAGTTGAGCAGAAATGAGAGCTTTGCAGAAGAGAGGGTTTGCTTGTCGTGCCCTCTCATAAAGGAAAGCACACTCTGTCATTATGATCAGAACTATCCCGACAAAAAAAAAAAAAACCATGGGAGACCCGACCCTAGGCTAGGGCAGTGACACACACACAAACACACAAACACACACATGCAGCCCAGCCCTTAATGGTCTGTTTTTCTAAGTAAGGGCGCTGCAGTTTAGTATCCAGCTAGCTGAAGAGGCTTTAAAGCTTTAAAAAAAAGGCCTGCACAGTGACACATGCACACAACCTCAAGTAAACATACACGTAGTGGCTTACGTTTGAATTTAAATCAACAGAAAAAGGGAAACAGAGATATAGACATACCACACACATACAGTACACTTATACCGACTCTCGCACATAGAAGCCTCCTGGGTCAGACTCAGAGACAATGCGTGAAACTGAAGGCTTTAAGACAGTGTCTTTGTGCAAGTTCTGTAATCTCCTCACTAAGGGTCACATTCTTTGTTCAGCTGGAGAAAAAGCCTCAAATACAGCCTCCTTACTAAAACCCTCAGGATGTGTGTGTGTATTTGTGTCACCAGTGTCTAAGAGCGTGCGAGGAAAAACAGAGGCTGACAGAAAGGCGGAAGAAGAGAGAGGCATTTTCTAAGAAATGATGATGAATCGGCAGAGGAATGCGGTGCCATGCGTGTTTGGGCAGGGGGCCGACGGGGGCCGGCTGGACTGGGGTGTCTGATGAGGATTGCATGGGGAAACAGAGACGCTTGTCCCGAAGGCACGTGGGACGAACTCTGTGGCATGTGCCTAGCATCAATAGGATCACCAGCTGACCCGACATGCCTTCAGAGCTCAAACCTACTAACCGTTATGTAGCTATTGAGACACTCTCTTGATGATATATCAGGGCGATGAGGAGTGAGGTCAACAAAGCCCCGTCATGTTTCACTTCATTTCTTGTCATTCTGGCACATTTTTATTAGTAAACCAACTTGAACACTGTGAAATAAAGTCAGATTAGTTGAGTTACTTGCATTATTTTGCTTCTCGTGATTTCTCCGCAAACAAGTGGCAACTGTTTTGTTTTAGTTTAGGTATAACCGAACCGCTTCATAGGAAACAGCTCTCTCTCTCTCTCTGTGTGTGTGTGTGTGTGTGTGTGTATGTGAGATTTCATGGCCCAGTCCTTCACCCCTGCATCCCCAGGAGAGCAGTTAACATCTGCCCCTTGTGGGGGTTGGACAGCCATGCCTCACCTCTTTGTGTTTGGGTTGACGGGAAAGACCATCTGCTTGTGCTCACACTGACGATAACATCACTCAGCACGGTTTTCCTACACACACACTGACACACACTTCCGGGTGTTTTTCCAATGATGATCACTTCGTTTTTTTCTTACCTGCAAGTCAGTCTTGTGCATAGGGGTGTACGAGTGTGCATCCTTGCGTGTTTGTGATGACTTGCTGTGTTTTCATTGGCCCTAGCAGTGGGGCCTCATGTCATTTTCTCAACACTTTTTCGGTCCTGTGCTGTAGTGTGGAAAAGAGACATCATCCAACTAACACACACAAGCATGCTGGCTCTTTCTGCTCAGTCAGGTCTGGACATGTACATGACTATATATTAATATGTTCAGCCCACATGTGCAGATTAATACTTGATACTCTCATGACAAGCTGCTGAGCTACACATGCATGTACATGTGTGTGCTTCATCATTTCGTAAAGCTGATTTCTCTCTTAGAAACAGGGGGTGCTTTTCTTAGTTTGTTAATATAACTACCTGCCTATTTACATGTGCCGTGTGTCTGTGTGTATTGATTAGGCTCAGCACAGAGATGCTTTTGTCCAGGAGCGCTACGGACAGTATGACCTCAGCGATCCATTCCTGGCCCTGCAGCGGGACAACGACACCATGGAGCGCCAGAACACTCTCGCCCAACCTCACACGCATCTGCAAGGCCGGGCAGTGGGCCCAAACCCTCTGGCTGTGCTTAAACTGGTCATGGCTCACTGCAAAAGGATGCAGGAGAGGATGATGGGACAGTTAGCTGCTGCTGAGAGCAGACACAGGAGGGTAAGAGGCAATGTGTGCTCACACACAGCTCAGCTCGCGCTTCTTCATATCAGATTTGCGTGTAAGGACAATGCTGGAGCCAGCTAAGAGCCCAGCCAGTGTCACACAGAGGCACACACTTGTACAATAGGCTTGTTGTGTGTGTGATAACGTGCGTGTATCTGTTAGTCTCTATGTTTCAGTTATTGACTCGGCTTTGGCGGTGAAGCAGACAGGCAGCAGCTGCACCAGGGGCTTAGAGGGGTGATATGGAGCTTTGTCACAGCAGAGCTCAAAGCCGGGGAGTGTATGGGAACTATGGAAAGTCAAAATATAGACGGTGCATAAATCAAGCTCAGAGAGGCGATGAAACTGACAAAATATTGTAATGAAGATGAGTTCAAGCTGATCAGTTAGGGGAGAAGTTTCACATTGGAATTTGTATGTAGGACAGGAAGCTTCTTGCAAGGAAGATAAATCAAGGAAAGGTAATGTACTGGTTTGAAAATTATGTCAAATTCATGCACTGGATCCTGAAACAAGAAACCTGTCAACATGTCATGTAATTTTTTTTTGCTTGGCTGTGTTTGGCAGATGATCGCTGATCTGGAGGAGGAGAAACAGCGGCATGCCCAGGACTCCGTGCAGCGCGCTGATTTCACCTTCTTGCTGCAGACAGAACGAGATAAACTGCTGCAACAGGTGTGACAGACTTGGAAAAGATAGTGTACTTGTACTGTGTGCATGTAAATATTTGTATGTTTAAGTGTCAGAAAAATAGTGCTCACCTACTGATAAGCACATCTGGTGCATTTGTTTCCCTTACCCGCTCCCCTGGCTGTCTGCACAGTGTCCTTTGTTGTAGCTGTGATTTAAAACCCAGCGACTGAGCAGGGAAGCTTCAGTGCAGCTCCACTGTGTAGCTCAGTGGGGCGAAGAGGGTTTGGCCTGTTGAAGTATAGACACACACACAGGCACTCTCATGCACAGACCCAGGACTGTTCCATGGGAAACAGATGAGGAAGAGGCTATTGTTTAGTTGTCCAGCAGCCATGGGGCTTTATGGCTTCAGGAAACCTGAGATAATGGATGTCGATGTCCAATGCAAGGTCAGCTGGTGCACACACACTGTGAGCACACAATCAAATACTACATAAGCTTCACACAAGTGTCTTATGTAAGAAAAGGTTCCTGAGTGTCTCCCAGCCTTCCTCAGGCTTTTCCTGCCTCTGGTGTTTTTGTACACTAACCGTACACACACGATTGTATTTCATCACCTCTCATTTCCTTCAAGCACTCATCAAAGCTTTTAAGCAGTCCAGTCACCCTCTAATGACCTCACGCAAACTGAACTTTCCATAAACATGCTTTGCAAGCAAATAATTCTTTAACAGGGCAAAACATGAACAACTGCCCCTCTTGCTGTCTCCTCTGAACAACACAAACTTTATTCCCTTTCCTGAGTCTGTATAAGCCTGGTGGACCTAATTTAAGAGTAGTTTATCAGGCAGAGCTATATGTACATTATACAACAAAAATGAGTAGACCCCTGTGCAATAGCACTTCAGTGTTAAATGATACCTAAATTGTAACATCTCACAAAAATTGCATCACTTCTTTGGTGAGCAGTAGGGTACGAAAATAACAGCTCAGGTAAATCTAGCCATCCATCCACCGAGTTCCCTCTGCTTAGCCGGGGTCGGGTTGCCGTGGCAACATCTCATGGGAGACCCCAAGGTGTTCTCAGGCCAGATGAGACACACAGTAGTTTAAATTTACTATAGTAATGCCTCATAGCAATAACTTGGTGCAACAATAATAATAATAATAATAACTGATTAGATTTATATTGTGCTTTTCTTACTCAAGGAGTAACTCAAAGCGCATACAATCAACTGTCAATTATTCATTCACACACATTCATTCTGGTGGTAGTAAGCTACGAATCAATCCTCACTGGAGACTACGAGAGATTACTGAAGAAATTTCATGCCAGTCTTCTTTGTTTTTTTCCAGCAGCTGTTTGCTAGAGGGGTTGAGTTGCTCTACTTTTCTCTTTAAAATACCCCAAAGGCGTTCTGTTGGAGTCAAGTCAGGTGACAGACTTGGCTGGGTCATACTTTTCACTTTTTCCTTCTTAAGAAAGTCGTGTGATTTTGGCAGTGTGCTTTTGATCGTTATCATGCTGCTCTCCTGCCAAACTTCTGCAGACTGGGAGTCATCTTGTCAGCCAGCATTTTGGTATAACAACAGACATTCATGATGCTATCTATAAATGTCACGTCTCCAAAAAGTTTTGCATTCATGCAGCCTGAAATCAGCACACTCCCACCTACGTCCTTCACTGTCAGGACTATGCACTTACTGTGGTACTGTAGCCCTGACCAGGTTGCTGAACCCCACCTGAGCTGAACAAATTCACCTTGCTTTCCCCTGAGCAAAGAAAATGCTCCCAATACTTATCAGGCTTCTTGTCATGTTCTTTCGCAAAGTTTCATCTTGCAGTTTTGTTCCAAACAGCAAGCAAGGGCATTTTCCTTGGACGCCGTCCATAGAGGTTGACATTACGCATTGTCCTTCACACTGAGCTGTCACAGAAGCTCTGATTTCCACTGATAACCACTGTGCCAAGTCTGAAGCACTTTCCTATCTGTTTTTCGACGAAACCTAGAGTCATTTAAAAATCATATTCATACAGATAGTTTATCCAGCTAATTTGGAAACCACAATGTTGTTTAAAAGACTACACGTTTTCTAACTGGAGTGCTATTGATCACAAGTGCAGTCACTGTAGTCGCACTTAATTTTTATATTGGGGCCTGTATTTTCAGTGCAGTCATACTAATGAATTTGTTTTACATAATTTTAAGAGGTGATACAATTTTGAAACATTTCAAATTACGTGATGTTGCACGGGGGTATACCTACTTTGGTTTAGTGCAAAATCTGTAAACTCCTTTGCAAAAACTCTTGTAATTTCAAATAATAGTGTTATTTTGCCTCCTTGTGGTCAAACAAGGTAAAGCTGTCTTGCCTTGATTTGTATTTCTGTCACTGTCTTCTAGTTGGAGGTGGAGCATGCAACAGTGCAGAGGTTAGAGAAGGAACAAGCACAAGTGGTGAGCAAAGTGGAGGAGTCCCTCTCCCAGCAGCAGCAGCTCTCCTCAACTCTGAGTCTGGAGCTCCAGAAAGCCAACAGCCAGGCTCAGGAGGAGGCTCAGAAGGTCTCCCAACTTCACACATTGCTGCAAGAGGAGACCAGCGCCCTGGAGAAGCTCCGGGCAGTTCTTGAAAGCGAAAAGAGCAGGACAGCTCAGCTTGAGGCCAGGTCTGAGCGGCAGCTGGCTGAGTTTGACACAGAACGAGAGCAAATGAAAGCCAGGCTCAGCAAAGAGGAGGAAAGGAGTAGGGAGCTTGAGAGACAGGTGGGGGAACTCAGGAAGAGGTTGGCTGAGCCCGAAGGATGTAAAGAAGAGGTAAAGGTGGCTGCAATGGAGGTGAAAGAGCCATTATCCAAGACGATGGTGGTGTCCACCTCTGTTCAGACTGAGCCAGATGGAAAGGTATCTGCCACTGCTAAATCCGCCTCACTGCCAAAGGTTAATGGCCATCACGCTCAGAAGGAGACAGAACCAACACAGGAAGGGAGAGGAGCAGAAAACGGAGGAGTAGAAAATGGTGGAGGAGCACTTTTGCATTCGCCTCTTCACCCTCTTCCTCACCCTCATCCTAACTCTCCCTCCAGCACAGCTTCCTCTTCCCTCTCCTCTTCCCCCATTTCTTCCCCTGTTCTGGCAAAGCGTCTGGGCAGCCCAGGCTTCCATCAGTCCTCCTACCAGGCTGGAGTCAACCAGCGATTCCAGGCTGCCAGGCACAAGTTCCAGAGTCAGGCCGAGCTGGAGCAACAGCAGCACGGTGGCCCTCTTTCCCCCAGGGACCTCTCCCCCACCACCTCCTCCATCCCTCCCCCTCCAGAGCACAGCACGGCGAAGCAACTGGCCCGCAACACTGTCACTCAGGTGCTGTCCCGCTTTACCAGCCAGCAGGCCGGAGTCAAGCTGTCGCCAATCAGCAGCTCTCCGTTTGGTACAGACTACCGCAATCTGGCGGCATCTCCTCCGGGGTCGAGGTCGCCTTCTTCCGGCCCCCTGTCTCCGGGCATTCGCTCTCCCCTCACTCCTCGCTCAGAGAAGACCAATCCTCCTCCAATCCCTCCCAAGAAGCCAGGCATGAGTCCAACTCCAGGCTCCCCAAGTCACTCTGCTCGGACCAGCCTCTTCCCAGAGCTGACAGGGAACTGTGGACACAGCAGCAGCGGGCAGGAGGGAGCGAAGGAGTCAGACCTGGTTTTATCCTCTAGTAGCTAACAGCCAGATCATACAAACTAACTGGTAAACAAGTCAGGGCTAAATCAGCAGTTCTGTAATATCTGTCTTTGCTTGCCCTTGCAAACCCACTTCATAGCACTCAAAATCTAGACACTTCAAAGCTGTGCTGGTTTCAACAGATGCAGAGTTTGTCGCACCCCTACCTCCATAGCACAATCTGAGAAACAATTGGAAAAGACATACTAGAAGTAAAATATAGTATATTATGGATTTAGTATTTCTTTTCTGTTGATTTCTTTATGTTGAATTATTGAGTTTAAGTTGTTTTCTACAAACCACAAGCAAAACATCTGTTGATTTTGAAGAAAGAAATGTCAATGGGACTTCACTGTACAGTGCTGCTTTCCTTTTTTTTTTCTTTTTCTCCAACTCTCAAACTGCCAATCCTGCTACAATCAAAGAAGAAAAACCGTATAGCAATTAGAAGGGCTAAAATCTATGGATGTGGAGCATAGCAAATGTGTAGCTACTGTATCGCCATTTTATAATAGTGAGTAGTTTTTAAATGTTTTCACAACCAATTCTTATGCAGTTTCTATCGAGATGTTCCACGGTAATATATTGTAAATATGTTAAAGAATTGAGTCAATTGTCTATGAACGAACATCACATGCATGTACTGTTTTTTTCTACTATACTTATGAATACACTGAGTCTTGTCTTGAAAAGGGAGAGCACACTTTGCACTGTATTACTGTATTTCTACAATTCAGATTTGTTTTTTGTTTTTTTTTTATTCAGGGAAGGTTGATTTCTCCTTCACCCAAACCAAGAAGGACTACATGTCATGCTTATATGACAACTGTTTTAGATATTCCATCCGTGAAGATAATGGACGCTAAAGGTTTGAATCTTGCTACTGTAATTATTCTATAGTATCTGTCAAATTATTTACATAGCTTTGTCTTATCCTAACAGTGATGCACATCAGATGATTGTTATAGGTTTACCGTTTTTTATGTCTTATATTGTTTTGGCTTTAAAACTGATATTTTTCACCAATCTATTTAAACCTGTAGATGTATGCACTGCTGTCTGTGAGGGGTTTCTCAGCTGTCTCTAGTAAAAGAAGAATATGAACACCTGCAACATTTAGTGCTTTTTAAAAAAATAAACTGTCCCTATTTTAAAGCTTACTGTGTCTTCTATTAAATCAACTCCACTTACAAATCTTCAACATCTTGATTGGAGCACTATGCAAAGCTTAACATCTCCAAAAGCGGGAAATGAAAAATAAAAACCGAGCCAAGATGTCCAATCCATGTATTTGAACAGAATGGGGCAGTACAGTCTTGAACTTTATTACTGATCGGCACACAGTTGTATTATATTGTGAGGGTTGAACACAGCACAGAGTAACTCGTTCAGAGTTAGCCTACTTAGAAGTCACGTAACACGTAGAGTATGATGTGGCCTTACAGAAGTCATGTAACATATTACAGTATGTGATCTTGCCTTACATGGCAGCTGCTTTGCGTTCACTTGGCATTGATCAATACACAAACAGTTTGTTACAGTAAAGAGTGCAATATTCTAAGACTCCAACAAAAACCAGCGTATTAAAATAGAAATTTGCATACATGGGTGGGAGGATGGAGTTCTTTACCATAGGAAAGAGATTTTGGCAAATAAATCTTGGTTAATATGAGTATGTTTTCCTTTTTACAAAGGAAAAGCTGTACAGCAATGGAGGTGTTGCCAAAGTAAGAGAACAGAGAATACATTATAGATGCAGCAGCATACAAGTCGCTTTATCTTATTTCAGTCATCGTAGCTTGCATGGGTGGAGAGACCATACATCAGTGGAGCACAACAGAAAACAAGTCAACATTCCCTCAGCCCTAACAGATAGGGACAAACATGCAGGTGCAGGAACAGAGCTATTCCAAGGATTGTGCTACTCCTAAATGTTAACAACAAGTAGAAATGCTGTCAGTTTCGTTAGCAATGTGCAACTAAGTTCCATGTCAGTTCAGCAATACTTTGAGCTTCATATCTGCTAAAATGTCAGAAGACTGCTTTTCTTTTTCCTGTTAATCTCCTGATTTGACTAATGTACCTGATTTCCAATTCCAAACAGAGCAACCCACAATGTGACAAAAACTTTCAAAAAACACAATATTTTTTCCTAAATCAAACCCTGATACGTGATGGTGTGCTTAAATTCTCGTCTGTTGCCTTGTGCGTCTCGGTTCTTTCCCTGTGTGCCGGGAACTGTGACAGGATCACAGCTCTGCAGAAAAACATACTGGTACTTCTCACACCTGAATCTAGGGAGGTCTGTGATTCCTTAGATGGCTGAAGGAAGTCTACTTCTCAAATGTAGCAGTCCTGAGCACAGCCCTGCATGCTGTCCCAACCCAGCTCTTTCACAACACACATCCAAAAGTAACCACCTTCTCCAAACCATGATTACAACTTCAACTTCCTTCCAGCAGACAGATATCTGTGCCAAACAGTCTGCAAATCCTCAGTTACTGTTTTTTTTTTTTTGTTTGTTTTGTTTTTTTTTAATTCCTTGCCCCATGTTGATACAGTTTTGCTTTGGTTAGTCTTTGCGCATGTGTAAGTGGGTTGTGGGCCCATGGGAGCTTGCATCCCCCCGGTCAGTCCCTGACCCTCCACTAGGCATTCTGCATCTCCTTGCCAATTTTGTAACTTAGGATCTTATTCCAGTCGATCTTCATGCGTGTGACAGGCAGCTGGCGACGCAGTGCCTTAAAGGTGGTGTCAGACATGGTCTGGTAGTTCTCACTGATTGCAGTCTGTGGGCAAAGAGGTGGAGGGAAAAAAGCATCAAGTACAACATGTCTTTATTTCAAAATATTTCTGTGGCAAAGTTGCACCTGTCGTTTTAAACAGTATGTAAAACACGCAGTCAGTAAAAGGTGGCTCACCTGGTAGTCGTTCTCTGCGTTCTCAATAATGTCAACAAATTCTTTCGCTGTCTGGCTTTCATTCTGTCAAAAACAAGAACACATAATCACTCTACCAACAGAAATGGATGACCTCTGTACAGATCCAGAGCTGACACAGTAAGTCTAATATTACACAAGGAACCATTGTTGACAGACTGTGTGACTGCTTATTTTCTACTTACAGTCACTGGTATTGATTCCTCTACTTCCTTGTGGCTAACCAGCTGCACATTTCCATCTTCATAATAGTGCACCTGGGGACGGACAAAAACTTCAGGAACTTTCAGAAGCTGGAGTTTTTCTTTTTTTAAATCTTTGACTTTGACTTGTCATTAATGCGGATGTGCACACTGACCTGGATTTTTAATACTCCTACCACCTGAGCGGTGGACTGACCAAGTGTAAGCTTCCACTCTGACCTGCAGCGACCATTCCTTTGAGAAATTACAAGAAACCTTTCGTTACCATCAGAAACCTTAAGAGAACTACAATACCTATATTATTTCACTTTTTACTTCCCCCTCAAAATACATGTAAACTATTAACCTTGAACCTTTCTGATAACGATAAAGCTATACTGTAAAAAACAGCAACATATTATCTATCAAATATACACATTCAATATATTCAGTAATGCCTTTAAAGAGCTGTTTGCAGGGTGGGCACTATACCAGAAGTTTTTGGGTTGAAACTGATGTCCTTCAATGCAGGCGATGATTGTTTGCTGACCATCAACTGTTTTCCCATATACCTGCAACACACAGATGTCATTAGTATGGAAATGTTATTGCTTATATTCCTATTCTGTTACATCTTTTGGTGTGCCTTACCGTACTGACTCCAGTAGGGTAGTGCTCTTTGACGTAGGCACTAAGGGCAGTATCACAGGCATCCCTCCAGCCCCTCAGGGCCATCTCTCCCTCATACGGCTGCACATCGCTCACTTCTTTTCTTAGGTGGTCAAAGCGGAACGTTAAGCGATTACGGGGGTCCAGGAAACGTCCCTGACCCAAGTCACCATGCTCTGTGATCAGGACCTATAAAGATGAAGATAGGACAAACTGAAGAGGCTTACCTCAGATACTTGCTGTTTTAAAATTCTGAGGAAAGATTTGGGGGAAAAAACACATACCGGCTCCTCATAGCCCTCGAGTTTGGCAGGAGTAAACTGATCCATGTTGTACTGGGCAAAAGAGCTGAACAAATAAAATAGGAACAAAGCTACAGTCAGCATTTATAATATGACATCAAAAGGCTTTTAAAAAGATTTTCCACGGACCATTTAGAGGACACTTGTCATGCTTGTATGACTAAGCAATAATAAACCTCAATGCAAATATATCACCACATATAGAGGCTCTGGTGTTTTAAATTGAGTATTGAAATTTCTCATGTTACTTACTGTGAAGCCCCCTCCCTGAGGAGGTTGTCATTGTTGAGGAGAAGTCGCACATCTGACAAAAAATAAAGACACCACTGTTTGCATAATGCGTTTACAAGACAAAATGATAAAACAGTATAATAAGTACCACAGTTTGTTCTATATCTTGCCATATCTGTGTCTTACCATTGAAGACCTCATTGAACTCTCCAGGGGGTGCATGAGTCACAAAGTTGGCCGCTATGCGGACCTGTGGAGGCAAATGAAACGCAACCAGTTAACTCAGCCAGTATGACAATAATGAGACAATACAGATTAGAATCAACATGACATTCACTGTTCATCAAACAGAACAAACATATAATTACATTTAAACAAATACTTAGTTATTACCAGTTTGGTTAGTAATTTTGATGATAATCATGTGACTTTTTTAGTTTATAGCATCTTCATTACAACAAAAGAACAGTTTAAAACAAAGGAAAGAGTGACACTCTACTGCTTGCTGATACCTAATGGGACATGATTTTAAAAAGGCTTGTCTAGACCGTTTTATATGTCTGTAAAACAATGCCATCTTGCCCGCAATTCCCTTGCCGAGGAGACCTTTATTGTTAACTACCTCCTGATGTTATCTGGGGAATGTCGCCTTTCTAGCCTCTACTTTGAAACCAGCCTGCTGGTGCCCAGATGTCTTTCTGTACTCTCCTTTCCCAGCAGAGAGAGACTCTGCAAAATCTGTCATTCCTAATAATTAGAGCTTTGCCTTCTACTGGTATTGCGTCCATCCGCCACCAGCATAACCGAAGAGTGCCACGATCAGGCTCCATTTAAGCTGGAGGCATCCACATCCTGATCTCAAGCCATGCGAGGCTAACATAACTATTTGAGCTGCAACTGAATCTGTTTGACCCAGAAATCCAAAGCAAAGTAACGTTAGCTGCTAATGTTAGCTAACGTTATATGAGAGGAACACGTAGCCCTCACTGTAATTGTTGAAGACTGGAAAGGACATTGAAAGACGACTTTTAAAAATGGGCGTTGATACTTCCTTTCCCACTGAACGAGTAAAAAGTTTCCTGTACCAGTGTCCAGTAGTTAAACCCCTCTATAAACATTTTACACCGCCGTTAGCCAACTATAAGCTTTATCTAGCATTGGCTAGTTAGCTAATGGAAGTTTATCATTTCCATATGTGATCTAAAACTGGCACGCTCTTTCCAAATGGCAACCGGTAAACCACAAAAACATGTGACACGGGTACCCTCATACAAAGAAGACAAATTGTCGTTGAACATAGAAATAAACAGTCTTCAAACCTTCTCCTCATCTGACAGCGGCTCCTCAAAGTCAGCCATCTTGGCTCTTTGTGACCCCACCTACCTCAGCTGACTGACACAACCAGCGCGCGCCCTGTCATTCATATACTAGGAACTATTTATTCAAGAATACATCGCGTCAGCACATATATATTACTGTCTTTTAATACAACCTAAAATCAATGCTTTTGCACGAGGGCAATGTAAAATAGTCCAAAGACTAGATTTATAACGCAAGAGGGCGTTAAATGCTCAGTTATTAGCGGTTGGGTGTTACACTTTATTTCACAATAAAAGCATATGCATTGTTGTTGCTGCGAATAAACTTGTCTGTTTGGTAGACTGTGCCCAAATTTTCCCTGTTAATTTTATAGATTGCTATTATTATTCCTATTCAGCATTTATTAACTGCTGAATTCCGATGATTTAGTGCATTCTGGTACTTTTATTTTAGTAGTAAGCGGCAACCGGAAGCTGTAACTACCGTATCCTTTATTTTTTAGCTAGCTTTACAGTGAAGCAGCTCTATTGTGCTGCCAGCGCCTTAACATTTGCAGACCAGCGACACACACCGTCTCTGTCATGGAGTCACAGGTATGATTAAACTTAGCGAGCTGACTCATTGTACTACTTTTTTTTTTGCTTTTGTAGCAATAATGTACAACACAAAACATATATTCTGTAGGTGCAAATGTATTAGCCTGCGATAAATATGCTGTCATTTGTTTTTAACGTATTAACAGAGTTAGCCAGCTTTCAAGTCAAGCTAGCAAACAGACACTGGTTCGGGTGTTTACTACCAGCTGTCGCAGGAACTTCCTGGTCAGATACATGAACTTGCTAGCAACAAACTACCTCGTTCACGTGGTTGCTTGTTATTTGAGAGTTATTGCTTCATTTCTGAGTTTGCACAGCTAATTAGGCTAATGGCGTTGATTAGCTGACTTCTGTTCACCTGTGGTAAACACTACACAAAGTTTGCATGGACGGCTAGCTGCTTAGCCAGGAAATGAATCGGACATTGTTCGCTGCCAAACATGTCGTATCACTCAGACGTTGTGCGAGTCATTCTGCTGCTGCTGCGTGTCGTCAGGTGATGTCCAACCCGGAGGAAATCGCCAGACTCTACAGAGAGCTCAGCCTCTTCCCCTCTCTGAGCAGAGCAGACGTGGGACCCGTTATCACCTCTCAGTATGGAGGCAAATACAGCAACATCTACACAGGTAGAGGCAATCTGTGTCACACTAAGGTGTTCAGATTTTTTTTAATGGTCCTTCATACTGACTGGCTTTACTTTCTTCTGCAGAATGGAGCCAGCGTGATCTGGAGAGGAATGAGAATGTCAAGTTTTGCAGACAGTACATTGTGTTCCACGATGACAAGTCGGTGGTCTACTCTGGAGCCTCAGGAAACTGCACTGAAATCAAGGGAGAGTATGTACAGTCTGCTATTTTATCAGGATGTGGGTTCAACTGTCTCCTCCTTCTGCTGGAATGACAGCGAAACCCATGAAGCACTTAAAGCTGAACAATAACCTCAATACCACTTTTCTCAATAGCTTGTGCTATATCAGTTTCAGTGCCATGTATAACATTTTATTTTTCACGCGCAATATTTCACTTCATGTACGACATGTCGGTGTAATGTGCAATATTTCCTTATAATGTGTGATGTTATTTATCTCAGTATCATTGCCTGCATTACTTTATACTATCTTTTCTTTTATTGTAGCCTACTTATTTTATTTTCAGTAATCTTATTGCTTTTCTACTTGGCCCTGTATTTCTCATGTTATGTCACTTTGTTTTTTCTGAGCAATACCTGGCAAAAATAATGCAGTTTTATCTTATCCTATCTTAAAGGTCTTCTTTTATTTGTCTCTCCTGTCAGGGTGCTGAGCAAGGATTCTCCTTCTGGTGAAATGAAGGCAGTTGTGAGAGAATGCACAGTGAAAGGAGAGGACAAACAGTTTCTGGAGGTGTGTGGCCGTCTGTCTGGCTCAGACTCAGCACTGGCTCTTGTACCTACCCTGTTAGTTGCCACTGTTCTGCGTTACTGTTTTATTTCATCTTGTATGCTGCTCATCTCTGGCTCTGCTCTATTTCATATTCTACCTATAGTTTCTGTTTTAAGGCCTTGTGTGATTTTCCTAAGAGTTTTAGTCGAAGACAACTGGACATTTTGTTTTTCACCCACAACTCACATGGCTAATGAAATTTGAGGTGAAAATATAATGTATACTCGGGAGTTCTTATAAATCAGTTAGAATTGAATAAGTGTTTTGGATGAGAGGTGAAAAATCTCCAGAAACCCATAAAAGAGAAGAACAGTCGCCTTCTACTAAAACTATTATGATTACCATGACCTGGATGACTAAGAATCTACAGACTTATTTGACTTTGCATTTTAAACCAGATTTCTTTAACTTCTCTTTTTCTCTGACCTCTCTGTAACCCTTCAGATCTGGAGTAAAAACATCAAGATGAAGAGCATCAATCTAACAGCCTTGAAGAAGCATGGGAAGGTCTATGAAGATGGTGAGTCATCAAGGCTTTTTTCTGAACCAGTTTAATTGAAATGTTCCTTTATATGTACCAGTTTTAATCACATTGTGTTTTGCATTCTTAGAACAGTTTGGCTGCCTGGTTTGGTCTCACTCTGAGACCCACCTTTTGTATGTGGCAGAGAGAAAAAGACCCAAGGCAGAGTCTTACTTTCAGGTACGTGTGCAAAACTGGTTTTGATGCTAAACTGACGCTGAATCTCATAAAGTAGAAATCTGCTGCACTACTTTCTAAAGCTTTAAAGCAAGTGACTTTTCCATGTTGTCAGTAAATAGATTGTCTTTCATATTGTTGAGAGCCAGCAACATTTTTTTTTTTAAAGTAGATATAAGAAACATTTAAGGAGTTGCATCACAGTGATAGTAAAAGTTGTTAGCTATCCTGTGCTTCTTCCTGAAATTGAAAGAAAGCTTGAATTACATGCTGGATTATGGAATAATGCCTTTTTGGTAAACAAATGGCTTCATCAGATTGATAGCATAAACACACTTGCTAGCCAGAACAGATGTATCTCAAGTGCCACTGAAAGAATCAATCCCTGCTTGATCTTAGAAACATTCCAAACTGGTGCATTTTTCAAGTGGTTGCTTTTTGAATGAACCTCAGGTATTTTCCACTGCCTTTCAAAAGCAAAATACCTTGATAACACTGATTGCAATGGTGCCATGGGGGCAGTGACGCATGTGTTCTTCCCTGTTTGTGATTAACTGCTGATTAACCATAAGCAGATGAGTGATTGTAATGAAAAATTAACTTCTAGCAGGTTAAAAACTAATTTCTCTCTCATTTTCTCTTTGTAGACTGACTCAGAGTTGTCTAGTATTGGAGACGAAGAAGACACCATGAGAGTGGAGAAAAAGGAGACTGTAAAAGTGAATGCATTTAGCGTTTCTTAAAATTGAAGCCACTTTTCACTGTTCAAGACTTAAACATTAATTCATCAGTTTTATGCTCTATTCCCCTCCAGGCTAAGTTGTGGTGTTTTTCCTTTTTGTTCCTGCAGGGGGAGCAGTTTGTCTTCCATGAGGATTGGGGAGAAGGTTTGGTCAGTAAGAGCTGTCCAGTGCTCTGTGTTTTGGACATTGAGGGTGACAACGTCTCTGTGTTGGAAGGAGTGCCAGACGATATCTCACCTGGACAGGTTGGTGCAACAGTTTGCACAATGGCGTATGGTTTCGTTTTAATCTTTGTGCACTTCAAGTATACTCATATTCCTTTGTACTTGTTCTGTCTTGTTCTTGCTGTTACTCTGTTTTCGTCACTGTAGGCATTTTGGGCTCCAGGTGATACAGGTGTGGTTTTTGTAGGCTGGTGGCATGAGCCTTTCAGGCTTGGTCTCAAGTACTGCCCCAACAGGAGGTAATTACATTTACACTGATCAGAGAACAGTCAGATTGTACAGCTGAATGGTCTAACATTTCTTGATCAGCTAGTATCGCATGTTATACCTGTTTCCATTGTCTTTGACAGGTCGTCTTTGTTCTATGTGGATCTTACTGGTGGAAAATGTGGTAAGTGAGAGCTTGACCTTTCTTTCTTACAGGCCTATAGAACCTATTTAATTAACAAAATCCTGGTAAATGAAATGAGGTCAGTGTCCATCCCACTCTGAGGCTTTTTACACCAAACCTTGCACATTGTAAAGTTCAGTCAGAATCAGAAACAGATTTATTGCCGGGTATAGTTTACACAATATGAGGAATTTATTCTGGTGAGTTGGTGCAACAATACAACAATAAATATAGAGTCCCATAAAGTAACTAAAAATAAAAATAACTAATAGTGCAAAGCAGAAGCAAAAAAAATGTTGTGGAGTGAAGAATCAAAGTTAAATTTAAACAAGAACCATAGAACGGTAGTGTTCTCTACAAGAATATTGAGGGTGCAGATATATTGATATTTACATTTATACAGATATAGAGGGGGCAGGGGGGTCAGTGGGGGGTTCTGTGTCTCGTTCATGAGGTTGGTGGCAGACGGAAAGAAACTGTTCTTGTGACGTGAGGTTCTGGTCCTGACGGACCAAAGCCTCCTGCCGGAGGGGAGTGTTTGAAAGAGTTTGTGTCCAGGGTGGGAGGGGTCGGCCACAATTTTACCTGCACGCCTCAATCAAGCTTCACATAACAAAATTGTCCTTGTTTAGTTTCATGTTTGAAGCACATGATGTAACCTGAGAAGGTTTGCATGAATTTCCACACCATTCAAAGCAAAGTTCACAGTACCAGGAACTGAGTACCTGAGTTAACAGTTTTACACTGATGTTCCTAATTTACCAAATAATTTCTAGCAAAGGTGAATGATTTGGGGAACATATCAAATTGCAATATTTCTGATAGATACTAAGATGTTATTTGCAACGTAATTGTCTAAAATCAAGCTGCAGTTCAATATTCACTGTGTAGTACATTTAAAATGTGATGGGACATTACCACCTGAGATGCAATCAAAAGTATGACTGTCACACGTGCATTTGTACAACCATTGAAACAACAGTTTAAATCTGAAGTCAGACGCGCTGAAAAACATCTATCATAATAGGAAGCCTTTGTGATTTGCTAATTTTTCAGCCCTAGCGTCTAGCAGAATGGGCACAGTTATGTAACGTTGCTAATGTGTATGTATATTTCCTGTGTCCATCAGAGCAGCTCTCATCAGGCACCAGTGCAGTGTGCTCCCCCAGGCTGAGCCCAGACCAGTGTCGAATTGCCTACCTGGAATGTTCTGTCTATGGACCACACATGCAGTGCATCAGGCTCTGTATGGTAAGACAGAATAAAGTCTGTTTCAATGTAAAATACATGCACCTTCTCTTCCTTACAAAGTGTACAGTGTCTTTTCTGGACAAAACATGTTAGAATCAATGTTTATTTACCCAATGCACCATCTGTTCTGTAGACATTTAAGCTTGTTGAAACAGAAATGAATTTATGAGTCAATAAATACACTTTCATGGACTTCTTTTTTTTGCGTATTTTTTTTCTAGTATGACTGGTACACTAAGAAGACGTCGGTGGTGGTAGATGTCGTGAAGCGGCCTGGAGATGGTGAGGAATGCTTAGTGGTTGCTATAGTGTGTCTTTATCGTTGCGTATAAAACGGTACACTAAAGACTGTGTCTGTGTTTATTGCTGTGACTTTACAGATGGATTCACTGGCATCTACAGCTCTCAGTTGTCCCCTCAGTGCTGGTCAGCCGACAGTCAGCGTATTATTGTCGCTTGTCCTCAGCGCAGCCGCAAGGTATAGTCGCCTCCGAGGAAATGGCTTGTTGTTATGAGAAAAATTTAGGTTTGATATTTTTTCTGATAAATAAACTCGGTTAGACAGCGCATCTTGCAATCATTCTTTACCTGGAAAATAATAGCTGTCATAGTCTTTTGTTCTTGGTTTTATAGGATCTCTTGGTAGTGGATATAGGCACAGGAAGCATCACCTCTCTGACTTCAAGTGAGTCACCGCACGCACTTGGAGTTCTTGACAAGTGTTAGGTTTTTCTAATAACTAATTTAAATGTGTTAATTCCAACTTGTGTCTAATGATTTTCTCTGTTTTCTTTTTATAGAGTCTGATGTTGGTAACTGGTGTCTGCTGAACATAGAGAGAGATCTGATGGTGGTCAGCTGCTCCTCGCCCAACTGCCCTCCGATTCTGGTAGGATCAATGTTTTTGTATGCATATTCATAGATGGTATACATGTCACTTACAGCACTGTCATTTCTTGTGTGCAGAGGGTGGGCTTCCTTCCAGGGAGAGATTCCCAAGAGGAAGTGGTCTGGATTACTTTGGAGGACTCTCAGACTTTGCCAGATATCGATTGGCAGATTTTGACCTTCACCCCTCCCCCAGAGCAAGACAACAGTCAATACCGTAAGAAGAAAATTTTCTCTTTTTCTTTTTTCTTGTATCTAAACAGCAGTCGTAGGACATAGCTTTTTCCTTTTTTCATCTGTCACAAACAGGCCACCATAGGCTTGACAAATTGGGGAGAGCCCCACAACAAAGCTGGTTATCAAATTATTTATAAGGAAAACATAGTAGAACTTAAACTAACAATGGCAGATGTAGTGGGTAAGATCAGCAATGAAGGTGAGTGCTTCCATGGAAAAATTATGATTACAATGTTATCTGGTACAAAACACAAGCTAATCATCAGTCAACAAAGCCACATGGGTGTCTGAGGGAGAAGAGCGCGAGCAGTGGAGTTCACAGAGAATAGGCTGTTCGGGATGAGCCAAACCTGTGCAGATTTAGTGCATGCTGGTTAAATTTTTGTTCCCAACTTATGTTGCCGTCTTGCAAACCTATGCAAGGACAACATTTTGAGATCAAGGCGACTGCAGTTTTTGGGGCCAGTTGCTGCAGGTGCACTCTCGCAACTGCACAACTTCCCATTATGACTGGAAATGCCGAGATTAGATTAGAGGTCGGCTCAGTATCTAATTCTCATTTAACTGAATTAGAGAGATTTGAACTTTATTTCTCTGATTATGAAGGTTTATCCGAGATGCGTGGTCGGTGATGTTTATCAGTCAGTATATAGTTCTGTTATAATGCATAATAATACCTGGCTGATCTTAGTTCTTGAGGCATTTAGCAACACCAACACTTCTGGTAAGTGGGTGATGAGGATTCTTAAAGTAGCATCTGTACAGATTTTTCATCCTGACTGTCTCAATATCTGATAACAAAAGCTGTTCTGTATCTCTTTCTACTGTATTTGACTAGTTCTGAATGTTATCAGTCAATTTATGTAGTTTGCAAGGGACAGGTTTGATCATCTGACTTATGTACAGCAATAAACTGATCTGATGCAGAAATCATATAAAATATAAAACTACGAACAAAGAACACATCACCTCTACAGCATTTTAATCGGCTGCTGTGTCATAATTACAGGGATGTTGGTCTGCATACAAACTGATATGTGTCTGATAACGTTTTAATCAGTCGGTGCGTTTCTGTAAGTTCCTGTTCTGACTCAAGGCTGACACAAGCCTAATGTTTAAGAAAAAGCAAATCACATCGAGAGGGGGAGGAGAGGGTTGTCACACATTGAATTGTTTGAAACAGTGCAGTTAGTTGTGTCCACTCTCCAACTTGTTTTACATATGTAAAAGGTACAGAATAAGTAAGAACCGTCTCTCTACATTACAATTCAGTGGAATACCCTCTCTATAAACTGTTTGAACTGCTGCCATCAGGCAAATCTTTCCGGAGCATGAAAGGACGAACCTCCAGACTGATCAACAGCTTCATTCCACAAGCTGACAGAATGATGAACTGCTGATCCAGATATGCAAACACTTATTCATTTAATTGGTTTCAGTTTAAATTGGTAAGAAAGTATATATAATATTAGGGTCTTTGCATATAGTTAAAAGTAACCAGACTTTTTAAAGAATAAACCAAAGCTAAATTTAGTACCCACTGAGGTTATACTTTTGCTTTTTAAATGTGTGTGTTTGCACAAAACAGTAATACATGACATGCTAGTGTAAGCATGACAAAATGCTGGACAGTACTGATGTGTTTTTACAGTAGAAGGGCTAAAAGACTTTACAGAAGAATGCTCCTGACACAAGTGTCTGTTTTTATTTAAAGTTCTTTGAGGTGCATGACAAGCAGCATGTGTAATCGTGATGGGACTAACAAATTTTTACTGTATTCCAGCGGGCCTTGATTTTGAAGCCCTGCTGATCAAACCAAAGGAGGTCAAGGATGACGTAAAGCTGCCTCTTATCGTCACTCCTCATGGTTGGTTAACCTGCTTTGCTTTTATGTGCAAACAAAATGAACAGCCAGACAGTGTTATGTAATTGTTGTATTGCCTGAATTTAGCGTTCTGGAAAATCAATATTAAAATTGTTCTTTATTGATGAGCAGTATACTTGGATTCAGAAGTGATCAAAACCTGCACTTTTAATCCATGTTGGATTTATTTTTAGGATTGAATCTGTGTTGGGATTTGACTCTGTTCAGTCAAGACCTACCGCTGATAAGATTGGCATTGCAGACAGTGGTTGCTATGACAATAGAGCCCTGAGTGGTAAAATGTTTAATCATATTCTGTAAACCAAGAATGGTCTTTCGTATCATAGCTCATAATCCTGTTGGTTTACTACTCTGTCTGAAATATTTTAATTCTACATGCAGATTACTTCCAGACAATTACGCCTCACGAGACTGTGATCCCAGAGCCACTTAGACAATCGACTCTAATACAAACTGCCCATCTGTATTACACATAACTTGTTTCTGTCATCAGGGGGTCCTCACTCAGTGATTGTAGCCGAGTGGCGTCTGTCCTCCGCCGTGCTGTGCAGGATGGGCTTTGCTGTGTTACTGGGTGAGTGGACTGGAGAATGTGAAGTGCTGTTTTTGTCTCTGTACATGTGACACCTGCTGAAAGGGAAATCATCCAGGTTGAAACTTTTAGCAGCTGTACTTGCTGTTCTATGGCCTGTAGTATGCGCCTTTGTCTGTCTGACATATTACACATTTTTAAATCTAGATATGTATGTTTTTGTAGTTAAGTTGGCAACATTCTAGCTATAAAGTCTTTGGTGACAACTGAGCAGAATTTTTTTCATGGTTTAGATACTTAGGCCACAGGCCGCGTGCATGACTGGTTCACTTTTCTTGATCTTGTTATTTCAGTTGGAACCGGGTTTTAACACAAACATTGGTTAAAGGCTGACTTACATGCTAACTTCGAGGTTACTTTCAACTCAAGAATTTGTGTTAATCTGTATAAGAGTACACCATAATGTCTATCACTGATCTTACTGACTGTTTATATTTTTAGTGAACTATCGTGGCTCAATTGGGTATGGCCAGGACAGTATTCTCTCATTACCGGGAAATGCTGGCACACAGGATGTGAAAGATGTTCAAGTAAGAACAAAATTGCCCACACTGACAAAAGAACAAATGCTGTTTAAAACTATGATTATTATGTTTTTCAAGTTGTGGCAATAATTAGCTCTAAAAATATCTTTTGTTCATACAGGTAAGAATGTCTTCCAGTTTTATTTATGGCTATATTCTGTTGATTTTCTGTCATTAGTGAATGTTCATTGCTATAGTTTCTGTTTAAATTATGGCTCATTGCAGCAGTAGCTTTGTTTTATTTCCTCCTGTGTTCTTCTCACTCCACTGACTCCTAATTTTTTAGTCTGTGTATTTTCGAAATGTAATTATATATTTTTTTCCTCATGATTTTCTTCCTTCCAGTTTGCTGTTGAAAGTGTTCTGAAAGGTGGCGAGTTCGACGTGCAGAAAGTGGCAGTTGCTGGGGGCTCCCATGGGGGTTTCCTTGCCTGTCATCTGATTGGCCAGTACCCAGGATTCTACAAAGCCTGTATAGCCCTCAACCCTGTCACCAATTTCGCCTCTATGATTGGCAGCACAGACATCCCAGACTGGTTGGTCTTAGAATGCACGGTTTCAAACTTGTGCCCTCATTTTGTTATTCATTTATTGGCTGTGTCAGCCTTGCACAACTACATGTATTATTTCAGTGGCACCGCTGACTTTCCAGTATAAATCAAAGACCAAGACGAAGCAGGATTGAAATCTAGTTTTCTTTGTTAAAACTATACATCTTTCCTCAGTGGCCAGGGTTGTATTTGCAAGAACGATGAAAGAAACACAGCACTAGCAAGATGTTAATCATTTTACATACTGGTAACTTAAAAAAAAAAAAAAAAAAACAGCAAAAAAAAAAAAGAAGTACTGCTTTGCTGTCAAATACACTTCTTTGGTTTAATTTCAGCAACAGCAGCTGCTGCCATTAAGTATGTCTGATTGCAAAGCTCACTCATGTTTTTGTCAGGTTTTGTTTTGAAATGGCAACAGGTCACAGTTACAACTGCAGTAAACGATTTCTCACTGTTAACAGTGGTTTTGTTTGAGAGAAAACAGAGAAGGCACATATCTAAGTTTACAAATGTAGGCATTGGTTACATTGTGCCAAAGCAGAAATTTTGAATATTAGAAATAATTCGATATGTCACCCAACCCTAGCTATAAGCAAGTGAGTGGAATAAGAGTATGTACATGCCTCATTATCACATGGTGGGAGGAAAGTGTTCAATAATGCAAACATAGTAAATGATGATAGTGATGTTTTTCTTCCTCTTGATGTTGATCTGTGTTGTTGTTTTTTGTCTTTTTTTTTTTGCAGGTGCATGGTTGAAGTTGGCTACGACTACAGTACTAGTTGTCTACCTGACCCCGCTGTTTGGGAACAAATGTTGAACAAGTCCCCAATTAAGCATGTCACGCAGGTATATCTGTGATTGTCTCTTGAGAGCATGCATGGGACTTCATTGGTGTCGTTCCACAGTGTAGTGATCTAAAGTTGCCTCTCGTCTAGGTTCAGACACCAGTACTGCTTACCTTAGGAGAGGAGGATAAGCGTGTACCAAACAGGCAAGGAATCGAGTACTACAGAGCTTTGAAAGCAAAGAATGTCCCAGTTCGGTAAGCAGCCTCCTGAGCATCATGGTTTACTGGTTGTGTCAGACATGCACTGCACAACGAGTATATTTTGCTGTTCGTTTTTAACCTGTAATGCTCTGATGTATGTTGCTTAGGCTGCTGTGGTACCCAGGGAACAACCACTCTCTCTCCAAGGTGGACGCTGAATCAGATGTCTTTATGAACATCGCCCTGTGGATAATTCAACACTTGAGTCAGTGATGATACATTTCAGCCAAATACATGCTCTTGTGGTAATGCTGTTGTTGCTGCCAGGTAAACACACTTCTCTGTAAGGGATACTATGTTCCTTTTTTGACAACGATATGAAGTCCAATTTAAAACCAAAGCAATGAAAGTGCTTCACAAACCTTATGTAACTGTACTTTTCTTGTAATCTGTTTGTTGGTATGGTGATTGCCACTATTATATTCAATGAGTGGATGAAGAAGTAATAGTTTTAACACAGCACTTGATTAAAAACCGTTTTTAATTCAGCAGGAAAACATTTTGTTATTTTTTACAGTCTTCACATGCAGAAAACAAAGGGCTTTTCAGTGAGTTCATTATGATTTTGGATATATTAACAAAGAGTCACTGTTTGTTTTTTTGTTTTTTTAAATCAATGTGTTTTTGATTTCATAATACAGTGCACTTAATAAAAAGATTGTGAAAATACTAGCAGCGTGGGATGAATCTTCATGTCCCCGGCCACATGTTCAGATTAGAAACGATTCTTGAGGCAGGTGCTGAAGTGGTATGTTATTTTCCTTTTCTTAAGAAGTTGTAGTGAACTCAGGAAGTCATCCAACTGTGTCCACTATTGCAAAAAGTCTCCTATTGCTGTTGATTTATTTTTTTTTCTGTATTCAACAGCGATTGTCATGTCACCGTTTGTAAAGTTGTTTTTTTTTTAGGTCACTTAGAATAATGTGTGCCTCTGATGTCCCTTGTGAGTTTGACTTACATCACATGATTTGGATCAGGCTGCAGGGCAAACAACCGCATGCTTTCACTTCTGCATAAATGGATCCCGTTTCTTGTCACTGCACAACCTTGTACCTGTGCTCTCCCCATCTGGATTAAAGGCTGCTTTTTCTCCCGATGTGAAGTTTAAGACGTATGCTCCACCTGCTATGGTAAGTGAGATAACATTATTTTTCTACTGTTAACTACTAAATGCACCACATTTTACTGTGATGAACTCCTGCTATTGTCACATTGTAAGGACAGAAAAGGCTGACGAGAATGGCTTCAAAAAGTGATCGTAGTACAAGTTACGTGAAGCTGCTTCAAATGTACGCTGCACCGGCTGATACTGATTGAATGCACTATACAATGCTTGATGTTGTGTACATTAACTAACCCTCTCAAATTACATTTTCTGAGCCATTACCAAACAGCTATACTGAATTTGGTTCCCTGTTTTTTCAGGCTTTGGTGAAAAATATCCTCATTCTTAGTCAACTTTTTCAACTAGTGAGGAGCATAAATATCCAGTATTTTCCATGTGACGCTGATGAGAATGCCACCGCAGTCGACTGCCACGAAAGACCGCTCAAGCATGTCCCTAGCATCAAGAATACGTCTGTAGTGTCACTTGATTTAAGTTGGACAAAGATACAGTACGTGGGAGAGCATGCTTTTGCTGGTGTCCCAAATCTTCATACTCTGAAGATGATGGGCAACTGTCTACCAGGTAGAAAGAGAGACTTTGAAGACCGCACATGCAAAGTGACGATCAACGCCGGTGCTTTCAAGACACTGCTAAAGCTTAAAAATCTGTATCTGTCAGGAAACAGCCTCACCTCCATACCGGGGTTACCTGAAAACCTGAAGGTTCTCGATCTACAGAATAATTGCATCTTCAGTATTACCAAACCGTTAGGAACTCCAAATCTTGAACAGCTCCTACTCAGCAAGAACTGCTTTTATGCAAACCCGTGCAACCAGTCCTTCAAGATCAGCGAGACCGTTTTCAGAAACCTCCCTAAACTCAAAAACCTTACATTAGGGTATAATAATTTTACAGCTGTCCCTAAAGGGCTGCCGCCCTCACTGATGAGCCTGGATTTAAGAGAAAACACAATCACGGAGATCTTAGAGGGGACATTTGCGAACCTGCCTGTTCTCACTGATTTGAATTTGGAGTGGAATTGCCAGCGTTGCGACCACGCAGCGAGGCCCTGCTTTCCTTGCCCAAATAGTCACCCATTACACCTACACCCAAACTCATTCTATGCTGAGAACAGCTCCATCACCTACCTCAGCTTGAGGGGAAACTCTCTGAAAACATTTCCAGAAGGCCTGTTCAGACCGTTGAAGAGTTTAAACAGTTTGGACCTCTCTGACAACCTCCTGGCTTATGCTATACGAAATGGCACCTTCTTTGGAGAGCTGAAGGCCCTCAAAAGGATTAGTCTTATCTATAACTATGAACCACTGAGGACATTCCCAGAACTGATCCTCTCCCCACATATTAGTCATATATCTGGATTACAATCTCTTCTTCTGAGCGGTAACTTTTTCCACACACTTTCAAAAGAAAGCGTTATGGTTCTGTCCAAACTTCCAAACCTGGCAAAACTAGAACTGAGAATGAACTTCATTAATACTTGTGACATGATGTCCCTGAAACAGTTACCATCCCTCACCAATATTGACCTGTCACAAAACATGATAAGTTTTCTTCCATGCTGCTCGAGTTTATCATCGGGGACCGCTGCACTGGAAAGCTGTCAGAACCAAAAGTTGCCTACAAACAATTTTCGTGACCAACCCCCTATCTTAAGAGATCGAGAACTCACATCTGGAAGTGACATCTGGGAGTCCGAACAATCAAACGTGCTGGAAATGTTTGAAGACGATGCATCACAAATTCCATCAATCTGGGACTTTAAAGATCATTTTTGCCGACACAAGCTGACACTGGACTTGTCTCAAAATGACATTCTGTCTCTTAGCAAAAATGTGTTTCTGGGCATGGAAAATGCAGTTTGTTTAGATCTTTCCTACAATTATATGAGCCAGGCACTGAAGTCAGGTTTGTTTATTGGCATGAAAAGGTTAGTGTTCCTTAATCTGTCGTATAACAGGCTGGATTTTTATTATAGAGAAGCTTTCAGTGAACTTAAATCTACACTGAAGGTGTTAGACGTTAGCAACAATGAGTTTCATTTCAAAATGAGGGGCATGGGCCACCGTTTTGAGTTCCTTCAATACCTGACTAACTTGGAAGTCCTGAGTATGGCAAACAATGGCATTGGGATGCGAATCGACCAAAGGCTGAACAGCAGATCTCTAAACTACCTCTACTTTAATGGAAATCACCTGGACATCATGTGGGAGTCTGATAACAACAGGTACACTCACTTCTTCCAAAATCTGACAAACCTCACTTTCCTGGATATATCCAACAACGGTCTGAAATCAGTCTCACGAGAAGTGCTGTGTAACTTCCCAAGAAGCCTTAAGGCCCTCAGCATGAGCAACAACTTGCTGAGCTATTTCCCATGGCAAAACGTCTCAGCGCTCAGCGATTTACGGCACCTGAACCTGAGCCAAAACTATCTTTTTCGTTTGCCTTTTGTGGCAATAGAATTTGGGGCCAATTTATCTCTCTTGGACCTCAGTCACAATCGCCTTAGTTATATTCCTGAGAATTTTCTCAGTAAGACAAAGTCCCTGCAATATCTGTATCTCAGTCACAACCAGATCAAAGAGTTGAACCATCAGCATCTCCCTTCCCCTTTTAAAAATGGAAGCGCCCTTCAGAAACTCACCCTCCGTGCCAACCCCTTTAAATGTGACTGTGATACGTCCTGGTTCGCTGACTTCCTGCGTACTACTCCGGTGAAAATTCCTCATCTGACCACACATTTACGCTGTGAATACCCAGAGTCTCAACAAGGCCGGAATATACTCTCCATGGACCAGCGCTCCTGCCAGGACATATATGGCGGCTTAGCCTTCCTCGTCTGCTCCTTCTTGGCTGTGGTTTTCACTGTTCTTCCCCTACTGAAGCATCTCTATGGCTGGGATATGTGGTATTGCCTGCAGGTGCTCTGGGCAGGACACAAAGGCTACTCTCAGCTGGCTGGTAGCGATTCACATTATCAATACGATGCCTTCGTGGTGTTTGACACCAGAAACCAGGCTGTGAGGGACTGGGTTTACAAAGAGTTAACTGTCAATCTGGAGAAGTCGGGCCACCGGAGGTTTTGTCTCTGCTTGGAAGAAAGGGACTGGATTCCTGGACTTTCATGTATTGACAATCTGCACAACGCCGTCCACAGCAGTGTGAAGACAGTGTTTGTGCTGTCCAGGAGTATGAAAGGAAGTGAGACGGTGAATGGTGTCATCCGCCAGGCTTTCTTCATGGTTCAGCAGAGGCTTCTCGATGAGAAGGTGAGTAAAGCTGACATTTTATTTGCATGTGTGTTTTGTGGATGTCATTGTAACTGTCATTGAGATGCTGCTATGTTTTCATAACCCCAAATTCTATATCAAAAGGTGGATGCAGCCGTACTGGTTCTGTTGGATGAGATGTTTCCCAAACTGAAGTACCTTCAGCTGAGGAAGCGGTTGTGCAGGAAGTCTGTGTTGTCGTGGCCAAAAAACCCAAGGGCCCAACCCCTTTTCTGGAATCGAATGAGAATGGCATTGTCATCGGATAACCTTAAGTTTTACGACAACAACATGAGTGAAAGTTTTATTTGACCTCCCTTTAACTAACAACAGAGAGAACCGTGGTCACAAAAAAGACTTCCCTCTTCCATTTAGCTCTTTTCACCAACCTGCCTATCGGTGTCCATATATAAGGTGAGATGATGCCACATATATAAGGATAGCTGATTGATGATAATGTTGTGTAAGTATATTGTATATTTGATTTTTCATGACTGTGTTCTGTTGTTACATCTGACAGTTTGGTTGTTCTAGCGTGTTACTAATGTAATTTTGAATTAATTGAATTTGAATTTTAGAATTTGATGTTTTGGCTTCTTTATGTATCCAAGTTTAAGGTTATATATATCTATAGATTTTGTCTTTTTTAGCAAGTTAAGCTTTGTCTGAGGGATGTTTTGCCGTTGTTAGCTACCATGCTAATCAAAGGACAAATACCAGACTATGCAAATAAACATGAATTGATGTCACTTCACTAACTTCATTTCCTAAATATAAAGGGAGTCGTCACTACCTGCCAAACGCCCCCGCCCCAATTTCAGAATTTCACTTCTCTTTGGTCAGATGTTGAGGGAAATGAAACTTGTGATTATTTGGTAACAAGTTACAGATGTCTAACAGCATCCATTCAAAGGAGAAAAAAGAAAAAAGTCACCTGTAATTTCTCAGTAAGTTTAAGAAGAAAACTTTGACAGGCCCGTTGCTTTTAATATGGCTGTAAGTATTTCTGCAAACTACTGACAGGAAAATGAGAACGAAACATACTGTAGGTGACAGGATACCATTTACTTTTTTTTTTGACAGTAACAGAACAGTAGTATGAAAGCAGTGCAGCTTGATGTATTGCGTTTATCAGTCTATTTTAGCCTGTAATCCCAATTTCGTTTTTGCCTCATGATCTGCAGTGGAAAAAAAAAAGAGAAAAAGGTTAAGTGACGGGCAGCAGCAACAGATGTCAAACAAAAACCACATAATTAAGATAATACATTGGAATTTAACAAAGTGCAAAAACCAGTAGTAAAGTGTTTTATCTACTTTGGTCCTCGGTGTGGACAATTAAGACAACCAAACCCATCTACCACCTAGAAGCTCTAGTGCTGTAACAGGGAGGTGGAACATGCCTGGAAGATTCATATTTAAGGGCAGCGCTTTTTTGTACTCTTTCAAAAATAAATAAATAAAATAAGATCTATGCATTATGTTGGATGTAATGAAAAACACTTTGCTTAATTTGTATCCAGAATTACAGAGACTGGATGTAAAGGTACATTTACAAACAAAACTATTACGATTTACCTAATAATGACTGGGGAATGCTAAATTAATAGAATGGGCATAAACCTTTATGTGAAAAGATCTATATTTAATTACAGACAAATTCTGTATTTAATAATTGACTAACTTATGTAGTCTGTCAGGTATGTATGTTAGAAAGCAGAAAAAGAAAAGTACAAACAATA